GAGGATCGCGCCGCATCGTCGATGCATCGGCGATGCGGCCCGATGTGGAGCTCGATTTTCTCCGCGCTGGCGTCGTCGATGCATCGCCGATGTCGCCGATGCATCGGCGATGCATCGCCGATGTATCGCCGATGTGTCGGCGAGGTTGTCTTGAAAAATGTAACCAGGATCGAGGACCGAGGATAGGATCAGAATGCCTGCACTCCGATTCAGACTGATGGCGTCATGCCTCAACTCGGGTAGCTGAGGGAAACTGAGGGTAACTAGGTGTAACTAGGTGTAACAAGGTGTAACTGGGCGTAACTAGGTGTAACTAGGTGTAACTAGGTGTAACTGGGCGTAACTAGGTGTAACGAGGTGTAACTAGGTGTAACTAGGTGTAACTGGGTGTAACTGGGTGTAACTGGGTGTAACGAGGTGTATCCGGAAGCGCTCTCATGGCGTTTGCTGCGACGCTCGTTGTCGGGACACTGAGAGATGCTGGTGGTGGTAAGGGTGATGATGATAATGATGATGATGATGTCGATGATGCTGATGAGTATGATGGCGATGCTGATGATCACGATGCTGTTGCTGATGCTGATGATAACGATGATGATGGTGGTGATGAGGAGCAGGATGGTGTGGAAGATGATGAAGATGATGAGGACGATTGATGATCATGGTGATGACGATGAAGATGCCGATGAAGATGATACTGATAATGATGATGAGAAGGATGATGAGGTGGATGATGATGATGTAGATGTTGATGAGGATGAAGTTGAAGATGAGGATGAGGATGGGGATGCGGAGAATGATGAGTATGATCCGCCTGTTGTTGAGTTTCCTGATGATGGTGGTGGTGGTGATGATGACGATGGTACTGCTACTGATAATAGTGCTGCTGGTGATGATGAGGATAATGTGTGTGACCATGATGCTGTTCGTGGGATGTTGTCGATGCTAATGGTGCTGACGACAATGTTGATGCTACTCATACTGGTACCCATGATGGTGATTATGATGATCATGGTGATGATCATGGTGATCATGGTGATAATGATACTCATGATCATGAGGATGGTGATGATAGTGATCAGGATGGTCATGCTGACAGTTCATGATGATCAAACCGATCCTGATGATGGTGTTGGTGGGGGTGGTAATGATGATGATCATGATCATGAGTATGATCATGATGACGATGGTGATGATGTTGATTGTGTTGTTGTTGGTGGTGATGATGCTGTTGATGACGATGTTGTGGATGCTGATACTGATGATGCTGATGACGACGACGATGACGATGGCGAGGACGATGTGGAGGAATGAGGAAGGAGGGGGAGGAGGGGCAGAGGAAAGGAGTGACGTGACGCGGAGTGGCCTGATGGATCCAGCACCGCAGGACCCCGATACCCCCCCCCCAGACCCTATGTGACGCTGCGGACCGTCAGGCCAGGCCCCGCCGACCCCCCCCCCTCAGCACGAGCGACCTGCATATCCATGTCCATGCCCTCGCGTTCTGGACTCTGGGGCGCCCATGCTAAAGTTGAAACGCATGCCAAGAAACACCCTGCTTGTCTCCAGGGTGCCCTGGGCTTCTTGGGTTTAGATGGTTTTGCGATGGGAAGCAGGACGTTCCCACACCAAACTCAAATGGACGTCCTGGGGTCTCAGGGTTGGGTTTCTCGTTGAAGGTTCCCAGTGGTCGAGCTCTTGCTGTACCCACACGATGCCACGGTTGCGCTCCGCACAGGCCATCCGCGGGAAGCCGCCCCGCGTCCGTGGCGTCGCGGCTGAGGAGCCCGGCCCGCGTGGGCGTGGACATGGTCATGTCGTCCGCCCAGGACCCCCCTCTTTCAGGATCCCGGCATCCCAGATGGGGTCCGAGCAGGTGGGGTCGGAGGATCGCGCCGCATCGCCGATGCATCGCCGATGCGGCTCGATGAGAAATTTTCTCCACGCCGACGTCGCCGATGCGGTGCCGACGTCGACGATGCATCGACGATGCATCGCCGATGAATCGGCGATGCGGCGCGATCTTCCAACCCCATCTACTCGGACCCCATGTGGGAGGCCTCTACAGGAGTGGAAAAAACATCACAGTCACGAATACATTGAAACATGGCAAATATGGAAAGTTGAGGGGAAGGGACAATCCAGAGCATGCATGGAATGTATGGAATTATGGTATTCTGGTATTTGATTTCTTCACTCATTCCGCTGGCCCATTTCGCATCACTGTGGCTGCGTAGTGGCGTTCTCGGGCCCAGGAGGAATACTAGGGCAGGCAGGACGATCTTCGAGGAGATATTTGGAGATGTGGCTCGCACCCTGTAGAAGAGAGCCGATAGACTGCCCCAGAGGGCGCCAAGACGGCTCAAAGAGCTCCAGCAGAATTTCGAGACGTACGTACATGGGTTGTGGGTCAAAATCATCATAGATGCCTCTTGGGGTCTTTTCGATGGGAGCCTCTGGGGAGCAGTTGTGAGGCCTGTGGGGAGCCTTTTGGGGGCTTCTTTGGGGCTTCTTGGGGCTTCCTGGGGGCATGTTGGGAGTCTTGGGAGCCTATTTGGGGGCCTCTTGGGGGCTTCTTGTGGTCTCTTGGGGGGCTCTTAGGGGCCTCTGGGGGCTTCCTGGGCGCCTCTTGTGGCCGAGAGCTTGACATGTCTGTTCGGGTTCCCCCTCTGGGCCCCCCCTTGGGCCATCCTGGGGCCGTCTTGGCCAGTCTTGGGGCTCCTGGAACCGTCTTGAGGCTTTCTGGGGCTTTCTTGGAGCCTTCTTAGGGCCTCTTCGGCTGTCTTTGGTCCGGGTCCGGGATATGACACCCACCCCCAGGCATGTACGTTTTCGGGGTGGATTTCATCATTGTGCAAGGCGTACAGTATTTCGGTTCCCTGTGCCTTTGCAAAGCGAAATGCGTTTATTTGCCCTCGCGCGTCGCAAGACAAGTGCATCGCGTAAAACGAGACAAATATTTCGTTCTTATCAGTATTTCTTAAACATGTCGGAGTAATTGGGCTTTCCAGGCGGAGCAGTCCACGACGGACCTCCAGCGTGCGCGCCGCCTTCGAACTTATCCTTCCGCGGGTGTTGTATATTCGTGGATGGGGTATAATCAGGCCTGTTCCGTTGCATAGTTATATTCAACCCCCGCGGCGCCACAATAATTATATCGCGTTGGCTGGCATTTTCGGGGCGCCATTCCAGGCGGGTCCGCAGACAACCCAACAAGTTGCAGGTGGGGGCAAGCGAGGGAGGGAGGGAGGTAGAGGGAGGGCAGGGAGGGGAGGGCGGGAAGAGGGCGCGGGGTGTCGTCGGGTCTTCCCCATGGCTCATTCAAGGGGTTCCTTGGGCGCCTAGAGCTGATGTCAATTTCGGTGTTCGAAACAATGACCAAATTTGTGAGTGGGGGCGGGCTATAATTGGCCGACCCTGATTGGGGCGAACCTGGGAGCCTCTTGGGCCGTCTTGGACGTTGCGAAGGCTGAGGAGGCGGATCGGGTAAAAATGCACGTTTTACTATGGGCATGAAACGTGTTTTGCCTTTGGGGGATCTCTTCGGAGGCGTCTTGGATGCTTCTTGGACATTTTGGAGGCCTGCATGTGGGGCCGTCTGGAGGCAATCTTAGACATCTGGGAGCGATCTGTGTGCGACTCGGAGCCCTCTGGAACCTCCTTATGGGACGCTCCTTGAGCGATCCGGGATCCGCCAGAGCCGCGCCCGGGAGTTTCTCCATCTCTGATCCGGAGTCTGCCGGGTGTCCGTCGCGGTACTTCTCGTCCGGGGGTCCCCAGTGGCCGCCCCGCGCGCGCGAAGTAGAAATATTCTAAAGCTGTTGCCGGAGATCTTAGGACGGTTCTGGCCCGTTGGGCGGGCGAATTCTTGTTTCCTTGGGCCCTTGCCAATCTTCGCGGGCCAGAGGGAGGAGTGAGCAGAAGACAAATTGGGCGCTGTCTGCTCGCCCCGGGCAGCGGCCCCCTTGCGTGTGCGGCCAGTGCCGTGCTTGCCTTTGTGCGGAGACTCCTCGCTCCGAGTGTTGTGTGTATGTGTGTGCAGTCTGGTCGTGCGCAGTTTAAGGGAACCACAAAATCACATAATCATGAAAATTCAGAGGTCCGCGCGGATTCCTCGACTCGGCGCTAGGATTCTTGGGCGGCGCCTCTGGCGGCGCCCTTGGCGCGCTCCGCGCACCAGGGAGGGGGGTTCCCGCGCCGATCCGGGAAGTCCACGCGGACACCTGAGTTGTTTATGTTTGTGTGTGTGGTTCCCCCGTCTTTGCTCGCAAGCAAGTGCGCACGCATGCGTGCGCCCGAATGTCTTCGTGTTTGGTGACGCTGGAGGGCCTGAAATGCCCTCCAGCGTCCTCCTGCAATCTTGTCACAGGTCTGGACCTCAACGCTGTTTTGCTGGACTTCGGCGGTGTTGTGTTGTTCGTTTTGGCAGGGAGGTACAGGAAAACAGGTAGATCGAAACGAATAACTAAACGAACAAAAAACGAACAACAACCTTTATGTCCAGCCCTGTCTTGTCACATGGCAGTGACACCTGGGCCCCCCAAGCGGCCGAGGCCGACAGTGGTGGATTTCATCGCGACAGAGAGCAACGCATGGCGCACCTTCATCCAGCGGCGGGCCAGCGTAGTGTCCAAGGGCTCCCTCAACATCATCCAGAAGGTGCATGCATGCATGCTTTCATACCCTGTCTCCTCTTTGGGAAGCCCTCATGCTGATGAGCGAAGGCCGAGGGAGCATGCTTCGATCCCTCGAGGCTCGATGCTCGTGACATGCCCGAGGAGGGAGCTGGTAAAGAAACTTACCAGGTTCGCCGCCTCCGCTCAGGGCTCCTTTCGCCCCGATCGATTCGATTCGATGTCGGCTCTGGCCGACCCGACCCGATTCTCATTCGGAGGTTGCGGCGATCGGCTGTGGCCCGAGGTGTGTATGGCGTTGCCGTGCCTTGTAGCACGGCCGATCCGACGTTACTCCGCGTCCGTGCCCATGCAGTCCGATCCCACGCGCGGTCCTATCCGTTCTGATGTCCCGAGCCGACGCTGACTGATCTTCTTCGACCTTGCCCGTCGGAAAGGAAGGAAGCACGAATCCCGGCGAGGCGCCCCATCCGCCCGCAGCTCGCACGCCGTCGGCGTCCTCGGACGTCCCCGGGCACACTGCCGCAGACCCCTGCGACCCGACTCGGTCGACCGACTTGTCGGCTCGATCTTTCTGGCTCGAGCCGACACGGAAGTGGCCCAGAGTCACGGACGTTGCCAGGGCCGCCGAGGGCGCCCTCGAGGGCGCAAAGTGATTCGAGTTTTGCGCACCGGCTCCGATTCGTCCTCATGCTCCTTTCTCCCCTGGGAGGCGGCGCGAGAGCGCGAAGTGATTCGCACTTCGTGCTCCGCGCAGCGCGAAGCGCGAAGTTGGGAGCCGTGGGCCCCCCATCTGTCAAGAGTGGCGTCGGTTTCTGCATCGGCGCCCTCGCCTCGCGGCCTGGATTCCGGGGCGCGATCCTGCGGGTGCGCGGTCGCTCGGCTACGTGACGCGCTGGGCCTCCACGAAAAAACGCTCAGTATCAGCCACGCGCAGAGGGGGGTGGGGGGAGGGGGGGAGGGCTTCCTAGAAGCACCCATGCTGCTTAGAAGGCGCGGGCCTTGTCTACAGATGTCAGGCCGGCGGCGCCTCCTGAGAAGCAGCCTCCTTCTAAGAAGCCCGCCCCCCTCCCCCCACCCACTTGTGCACGCCGCCAATTGTATTTGCGTGATGAGCTTGTTTTCCACCACCACCACCATAAGTTGGACGGGTGGAGGAGGAGGAGGAGGACGACGACGAAGAGGAGGCGGAGGAGGACCCCCTCCCCCTCCAACTTATGGTGGTGGTGGTGGAAAACAGGCCCATCATTTGCGGGGTCGCGGACCTTTGAGCCCAGCCCGCGAGGCCGCGGATATAGATAACGTTCTTCGCCCACGAAACCTGTCAGGGGTGTGCCCAAATGGGGGTGGCACACACACACACACACACACACACACACGCGGGCTGCGCCAATGGAGCCACGAGGCGTGTGAGCGGTGTGCCGAAACGGGGGTGAGGCCCACATGCGAGCTGCGCCAATGGAGCCTCAGGCGCGGCTCCGTACGGGGCCACGAAACGTGTGAGGAGTGTGCCGGAACGGGGGCGACGCCCAGTGGAATCTGATGTGGAGCTCCCTTCGGGGCCACGAAACGTGTAAGGGGTGTGCCGAAACGGGGGTGGCGACCACATGCGCGCTGCGCCAATGCGACCTTGAGCGGAGCTCCCTATGGGGCCACGAAACGTGTGGGGGGTGTGCCGAAACGGGGGTGGCGACCACATGCGGGCGGCGTCAATGGGACCTTTAGTCGGAGCTCGGCATGGGAGATTCGGACCGGTGCGGGCTTCGCCCGAAGATCGTCGTTCTCGTCGTCGTCCAGGCTCCTCGCCGCCGCCGCCCTCGTCGTTCGTGTCGTCGTCGTCCTCGTCGTCGTCGTCGTCGTCGTCGTCGTCGTCGTCGTCGTCGTCGTCCTTGCCGTCCTCGCTTTCCGAGCTCTCCTTTCTGCGCCCTCGTCGACGCCGCCGCCGCCGACGACGACGCCGTCCTCGTCGGCCGACAGCACCGTCCTCGGCAAGGCCGCCGCCGACGACGCCGTCCTCGTCGCTGGTCTCATCGCCGTCCGTGTTGCCGACGACGCCCTCCTCTCTCAGACCCGGACGCCGCAACAGACAAGACCCGAGGGCGCCCTCGAGGGCGCGAAGTTATATTCTCGCTTCGCGGTTCGGCTCCGACTCCTCATCCTCCTCTTCCCCCCTGGGAGTTGGCGCGAGCGCGCGAAGTTATTCGCACTTTGCGCTTCGCGCGAAGCGCGAAGTTGGGAGCCCTCGAGACCGCGGCGGCCGCGACGGCGGGCTCCTCCGCGCTCTCGACCCCCGGGGAGGGCCGCCCACCTGCCGGCCCCCGGCTCCCTTGGAGGCCCAGCCCGGGGCCGCCCGCGCTCCGAGCCGAGGCGGGTCGATTCGCCCGCGGGGGCCGCGATTCCGATTAGGAGAGGCTACAATGAAGTCGGGCCTGCCCCTCTACAAGAGGAATATTCAAAAACAGACAAAAAGTAGTCAGGGCACGATTCCTTTTTTATGTTTTTTCGCATTTGTTATTTCTGAGCATTTCATTTTTCGCTCAAGATCCCGCTGTCGGGGGACAGGCCCGACCTAACGCCATACGGCCATACGGAGTTAGTCCACACTGAGAGCTCGGTCTCCGTCTGGGCCTACTCTGTCTGGATTTCGCATCCCCTGAGATTCGGCTTGACCCACCGGCATCGGCCAGGGCCTGCCAGCGCTGGGCGGGTCAATCCGATTCGGGACGGTTGGCCAGCGACCCGGTCCGTCTCGGATCCGATCCGGCTTCGCGATTCGATTTAGCCCAGTCTTAGTCTTGCCCACGCCCCCGACCTCTACGTGACGATCTTTTCATGACGTCGACCTCCAGAGGTGTCGACCCGTTCCTCAGGACAGGCTTGTCATCCTGAGTCGTTTTGGTCGACAGTCCTGAGGGCTTGCAAGGGACCCGAGAGGCAGAAAATCTCGGAACACGTTCCGCCGTGTCTTATTCATGATTCGAGGGGAGTCTGTCGGCGACGAGCCCAGGGGGGAAGTGAGAGGGAGTTAAGGCCCTCCCAGAGGGCTCGGAAGTCCCCTGGCCTCCCGAGAAGTCTCCGAAGCCTTCCCCTAAGCCACAGGTCACCGGCCAGAAGGCGCGAGGGCTTCTGAGAGGCGTTCTCCTTCTCACCTCCCCCCCTTCGCCCTCGGCGATGGCCTCTGAGAAGGCCTCCTCCTTCTCGCCTCCCCGCCTGGCTCGCCGCCGAGCCCGGGGCCACGGGGCACAGAAAAAAGATCGGCGCCGGCGGCGGGGGCTCGCCGTTCTCCGCTTCGGGCCGCGGCCGCAGCCCGCGGCGGCCTCGCCTCTTCTGCCCCCTCCCCCCTCGGCTTCGCTCGGACGTGGGCATTTTTCTGTCGGCGGGGACCGTCGAGAAGCACCTTGCGCCCTCGCTCGAGAAACGAAGCGCCCGAGGCCGAACAGAGGGCGCGGGGATGGACGCCCGAGCGACGGCAAGCCCCCCCCCCGCGCCGGGAGGTGCTGCGGCTGCGCCCCAACACGGAGACGGGGCCTGCGGGGGTCCCTCCTCTTCCTCCTCCTCCTCCTCCTCCTCCTCCTCCTCCTCCTCCTCCTCCTCCTTTGTTAGGCCAGCCGCGGGAGCGAGCGCTCCAGGCCTCCTCCTACTCCTCTTCTTCCTCCTCCTCTTCCTCCTCCTCCTTCCCCCCTCCTCCTCCTCCTCCTCCTCTTCCTCCTCCTCCCTCCTCCTCCTCCACCTCCTCCTCCTTCCCCTCCTCCTCCTCATCCTCCTCCTCCTCCTCCTCCTACTCCTCCTCTTCCTCCTCCTCCTCCTCCTCCTCCTCCTCCTCCTCCTCCTCCTCCTCTTACCTCTTACCTGCCTGCGGAGGAAGGGTCCACTGAGGGCCTCCGAAAGGGGAGGGAAAACAAAAGCCGTGCCGCCTCCATCAGTGGAGGTTTGTCGACCAACGACGGGGGGCGACAGCCCCGCCGAGGCCCGCGACAGGAGACGGCACAGCCTTCCCCGATCAATCAGGCCAAGCCTTGAGATCTGGGGGCAATTTCCCTGCTGTCAAACAGTTCAATACCCTCTTCCCGTGGTCGGTGAGCCCAGGGATGCATCGACGGCCAAGTTTCTGGAGCTTCCCGCGAGAAGGGACGCCCGTCCCACCGCAGACCTGGCACCAAAACACACCCCTGAACGCATCGACATGATGGGAATCATGGATTTGAGTAGGAAAACCCGCACACGGTGACTGCAGGAAGGCTTCTTTGTCCCCTCCGGCACGTGCAAAACAAATTGTGCACCTCCAGGGTCCATGAGCCCGCTGCTCCACGGAGTGCTGGGTCTGGCTCAACAGGAAGGCCAAGGATTCAAGATGAGCCTGCTTGGCCTGGGCGGAACGGGTCTTGGCCTCCTCCTGGCGATTCCCCTTGGCCGCTGCCCTCCTCCTCCTCCTCCTCCTCCTCCTCCTCCTCCTCCTCCTCCTCCTCCTCCTCCTCCTCCTCCCCCTTTGCTGCTCCGAGGGCCCCGCGTCCGATGTGGCACGGGCCGCGCTCGCCCGCCGCGCGCGGGGCCCGCGCGCCCGGGCCGCGGGTCGCTGGCGCCGCCCGGCACCTGCCGCTCCTGGCCTGCGTGCCCCTCGGGCCGCCGCGCTGCTGGCCTCCGCGCGCGCCTCCGCGCGCCCGGAGCGTCCCCGCCAGCGCTACTGCGCTTCGGCAGCCCCGCAGCCCCGCCCGCCGCCCGGCGCGCCCAGCTCGCCACCGCCCCCGCGCGCCCAGCTAGCCGCCGCCCGCGCGCGCCGTCGCCGGCGTCCCGCGGTGCGCCCTCGGCCGGAGCCGTCCCGCGCCGCGCCGTCCCGCGCCGGCGGCGCGCCGCGCTCCGCGGCAGCAGGCAGCCGCCGCGCAGCCGCAGCGGCGCCCGCTGGGCAGCACGGCTGTGCGCCAGGCCTCGGCGCTGCCGCGCTGGTGATCCGCAGAGCAGAGAGTCTCTGCCGCACGGCCGCCAAGACCTGCTGGTCTTCGACGGTCCAGGTGCGCAGCAGAGACTGCGCTTCCTCGACAGGCCGGCCCAGCGCTTCGAGCGCGAAGGCGAGCAGCGCAGGCAGCGCAGGCCCACCGCGGCCGCGGCGCCGTCCCAACTCGCGCTGCTGCGGCCGGCGCCCGCGCCAGCCCTGAGTGCGGCGTCGGTGACCGTGGCATGCATCGACGTGCTGCCGCCCAGCGACAGGGTCGACGTACTGGTCACGTCCAGGCGCGCGGTTTCCACGCTGCCGTCCGGGCGGGCGCGGTCCCAGGCGGGTATACGTCCTGCTCGGTCTCCACGCCCGCGGCACCCCGCTCGGCCAGCCAGACGGGCAGCCAGTCGCGCACGCCGTCGTGCTCGAAGATGGCCAGGCTGCCCTCCTCCTACCCCTCCCTCCTTTTCCCTCCTCCCTCGTCCTTCCGGATCCTCCCCCTTCCTGATCCTCCTCATCCTCCTATTTCGCCCCCTCCCTGGGCAGGAGATCTGTTTAGTGGCATCTCCCGGCGAGAACGGGCGTTACCTGGAGGGAGGATGTGGGTGCAGGTAACGTCACACTTCGCACCGGAGCCATGAAGGATTGCCTACGGAAGCCGTTGCTACCCGGAGTGGGGGGGCGGAGGGGTGAGTGGGAGGCCCAGCCACTCTCGACTCTGCGTTGGAACCCTTTTCGTGGCGCCTCTGGCGCCGCCCCTGGTGCGCGCTCCGCGCGCCAGGGAGGGGGATCCAGCGCCGATCCAAGGAATCCGCGCGGACCTTCGAAAGGGTATACGTAGCACCCCGCAAATGTGGATAAGAGTGGGGGGGGCGGTGGGGACGTCGGCAGTTTGCGAGACTCTGGAAAAGCCCGCCGCATGCGCCGAAGTCCCACAAATCATACAACGAGCCCGCCGCAGGCGCCGATTTTTTGATTCAACCAATGTGGGTAGGTCGCAAATGGGTCGCGGGGGGGTCGCAGGGGGGTCGTTGTTGGGTCGCGGGTGGGTCGCGAGTGGGTCGTGGGTGGGTCGCGGGGTGGGTCGCGGGGTGGGTCGCGCGTTGGTAGCTGGGTGGGTCGCGGTGTGAGTCGCGGGTGGGTCGCGGGTTGGGTCGCGGGTGGGTCACGAGGTGGGTCGCGGGGTGGGTCGCGGGTGGGACGACGACAACCAACAACAACAACAACAGCAATAATAACAACAACAACAACAACAATAATGACAATAACAATAACAAAAACAATCCGCCGGCCCCCTTGTGGGGCCACCAGGCTGTAGGCGCGGGTTCGCAGTTTCCAGTACCAGTTGTAGCTTGTAGTTTCCAGTGTTACAGTTCTGCTTCTTGCTGGTTACTGTAACTAGTTGATTGACCGCGCGAGGGGGGGGGAGGCCCAAACAGGATTTTTTAGCACCCCCTGGGCGCGTTGTCTGAATTGCTGGGGGGGTTCGAAATCGACACCCCTCACGCAGATCCGCGGGGTCAGGGTCCAAAAACACAGGGATTTGCCACATTTCTGAAATTCGGTGCCACCCCTCACGCAGATCCGCGGGGTCAGGGTCCAAAAACACAGGGGATTTGCCACATTTCTGAAATTCGGTGCCACCCCTCACGCAGATCCGCGGGGTCAGGGTCCAAAAACACATGGGATTTGCCACATTTCTGAAATTTGGTGCCACCCCTCACGCAGATCCGCGGGGTCAGGGTCCAAAAGCACAGGGGTTTGTCACATTTCTGAAATTCGGTGCCACCCCTCACGCAGATCCGCGGGTCAGGGTCCAAAAACACAGGGGATTTGCCACATTTCTGAAATTCGGTGCCACCCCTCACGCAGATCCGCGGAGTCAGGGTCCAAAAACACAGGGGCCACATGAAATTCGGTGCCACCCCTCACGCAGATCCGCGGGGTCAGGGTCCAAAAACACATGGGATTTGCCACATTTCTGAAATTCGGTGCCACCCCTCACGCAGATCCGCGGGGTCAGGGTCCAAAAACACATGGGATTTGCCACATTTCTGAAATTCGGTGCCACCCCTCACGCAGATCCGCGGGGTCAGGGTCCAAAAACACATGGGATTTGCCACATTTCTGAAATTCGGTGCCACCCCTCACGCAGATCCGCGGGGTCAGGGTCCAAAAACACAGGGGATTTGCCACATTTCTGAAATTCGGTGCCACCCCTCACGCACATCCATCGCAAGGCGTGGTAACCCAAACTGCGAGTACTCCCTCGGCCCTTTAATCCCAAGGTGTGGTAACCAAGCTCGTAAACCATACACGTCTTACCAATCGCCCTGTGTGGTAACCCCTCTTGTGATCAGTTGGTTTTGCCGATTGCGAATCGGCCTCGCATGAAGTTCCGATACTGCTGCGCGACAGCGCCAAAGCCTCATGACTTAGCTCTTCCATGGCCCATTCTCCGAGAGAGGGGGCCGGCGGCAGGGGGCGAAGCCCTTACGGATAACAAGAACAACAACAGCAACAGCAACAGCAGCACCAACGCAACAAGCATAATCCTCACCACGGATCCCGACTTCAGCCACGCACCCAGGGACAGTGAATGACCGTCCGGCTCACTCACTCTGATTTATGCAGCTGGTTCTTTCTTCGAAGAGCGGATAGTGAATAAATAGACAGAATGTTGTTTAGTATTTTCGGCCTTTCGGGCCTTCTGAAGAGACATTCGGAAGGTTTTTGGACCCTGGGGCCGTCACGGAACGACTCAGGGTGATAAGCCTTTCCTGGGGAACGGGTCGGGACCCCAGGGGTCGTCGACGACGTTGCCGTCGGTGTTTGGAGGCAGTGTCCAGGACGGGACCATTACCAATCGTCAGAAGAGAGACATGTACGGTAGGTTCGCGTCGTGTTGACCGGCGGCGACTCCGCCGCCGGTGTTCAACGTTGAGCGCCGCCGGCGACCCAGAACCGGTCGATGTTGGACGATCTTCTAACGTTTCGGCAGCGGCCGCTCGCTCAAGGTTGAACAATCCAGAGCGGTGTCAGAAACCAACGCCAGGGTTGGCACGACACGAGACTACCGCACCGAGACCGGTGCCCTTCCCTATAATCGCCAGGGCTATAGTCCGAGCGCACTCACTGGAGAGGCCTCGAGAGCACGGTGCCCCCGAGTGGCACGCCGCCGTGCGCAGCCCGTCCGCGTGACGCTCCCCTCCCGATTTCGTCCGGAGGCCTCGGTGCACTCATGTCAGCGGCAAGCACCACCGCGCGGCGGGGTGCTGCCCCCCCGGGGCGGCGTGTCGCCGACATTGGGCGTCACGTAATGGGGGGGTCATAAATGGGGGGGCGGCGAGCGTGGTCCGAAAAGGTACCCAAATGGTACCTGAACGAGCCCCCTGGGGCTCTGGAGGGGCCCGAAAGGAGCACGAAATGGGACCTTTTCTGACCCCCCCATGTGTGACCCCCCCCATTAAGCCACGCCCAAACTGGTTTCTGGCTGGCCACAGGGCGCCCGAGGTCCTCGGAGGTGTGGGCGGCAGTGCCCGAGGGTGGGAGGACGGGGGGGAGGGCGTTGGTGTGGGCGGGAGGGCGGGGGCGGGGAGGCAGGCTGGCCGCTTGTCGCCGCGTCCCCCTCGGAGGGCGGGAGGGTGCGGTAGGGAGGGCGCGGGGGCGCGGGGGCGGCGGGAGGGGGGCGCGGGGAGGCAGGCTGGTCGTTCGTCGGCGCGTCCTCCTCGGAGGGCGGGAGGAAGGGTGCGGGAGGGCGCGGGGGGGCGGGATGGGGGCGCGGGGAGGCAGGCTGGCCGCTCGTCGCCGCGTCCTCCGCGGCCGCGCTCGCTCGACTCGGTTTTTCGGACGGTCTCGGGGCCTCGCCCTCCGGTTCGGTTGGCGTGCAGCTCGGGTGGCCGTGGGGCTGTGCGAGGCATGGGAGGCGGCCGAGGCGGCCGAGAGGTGGCCTCTTCCTCCTTTCGCAGGCGATCGCAAACAGGGATTGATGGGGGCGTGGACTAGCGACGGGTCCGTTTCCATTTGGAGAAATCGCACATCTTCGCCGCCGAGCCACGCGGCACCGGCCGCCTTTTGGGGAGGGCACCTCCCCCGATCCCTGGATTTGGCGACTGCGCGCCAGATCCATGGATCGCGAATCCATGTTTGCGCGCGCCCCCGATCCTTCCCGGGGCGGACAAGCGGGGGGCGTCGGGGCAAAGGGGGGCGGGACACGGAGTTTGCCGGGTGCAGCTGGTGTGTCAGCAGCTCCGCCAGGCCTTCTCACTCGATGCGGTGGCGTCCCTGGCGCCAGGAGGCGCCGGGGAAACTACGTGTGCCGAATCGCTGGCCCCCTTTTTACTGACCCCCCCGTTTCGTCCGACCTCATCTTTTGGGGTGAGGGTGGGGGAGGTGGGAGACTCTCCCTCCTCATTTCTCCGTCCCTCTCCCTCCTCCCTTCTTCCTCTTGCCGTATCCTGCCTGCCCGCCTTCCTTCTCCCTCCTTCCTCCCTCCCGGCATGGCCCCCAGAGGATGCCAAAAATAGCCCAAACCTCCCACTTCCCGTCGTGTTTTTTTCCTGACCCGAGGGGGTCTGGGTCGTCCTCCTCGTTCGACTGGCGGCGCCCAAGGTGGTGGCGCGAAGGGGGTGGACCTCCCAAGTAAGGCAGGGCGCTTCTCAGAAGGCAGGAGCCTTCTTGGAAGCGCCTTGGATGCTTCTGAGAGGGCTTCTTGGAAGCCAGGAGGCCTTCTATGATGCTCACTTCCTTCAGAGAAGCCCCTCCCTCCTCAGGAAGCCGCCCCCCTCGCTCCGTCCCCTTGTGCAGTGGAGACCCGTGCCAAGAAAAACCCTACTCGCCTCTAGGGTGCCCTGGGTTTCTTGGGCTTCGATGGTTCTGCGATAGAAAGCGCGACGTGCCCACACCGAGAATCGATGACCGTCCTGGGGTCTCGGGGTTGGATTTCTTGTGTTAAGTCGGGCCTGTCCCTCTACAGGAGTATTCAAAAATAGTTCTAAAATAGTCTGGGGACGAAGTTTTGACAATTTTTTAACATTTGTGGGGCATGTTTTGTTGCTGTTACTATTTTTGAGTTTTCCATCAAAAAATTGGCCTGTTGGGTTTCTCGTGGAAGGCTGCTTGTGGACTGGCCTGCGCTGTGCGCGCCGGCACTTCGAGGCCTCCTGCCGGCCAGCGCGCGCGGGGCCGCGGCCCAGGACGGGCTCGACCCCGCCGCCTGCGCGGAGCTGGAGGAGCTGCGCGGCCGCTGCCAGGAGGCGCGCGCCTCGCCTCGCAGCAAGCCTTGGGTCGGGTGTGTCCCCCTACCCGCGGACTTTGGATGATTATATATATATATATAATGCAAAAATAGTCAAACCATCGTCTCATTATTATTTCTTGTTACTATTTTTGGATTTTCCTCGTGTAATGGGACAGGCCCGACTGAAAGCAAGCGGGGTGGCGCCGGCCAGGGCAGAGTCCACTCTGGCCCGATCGAGTCGATGTCGATTCCAGCCGGCCTGCCACTCCCCCGAACAAAACCTTGAAGGAAGCGGGCATGGGGCCATGTGGTATGCGGTGTGGGATCGCATTGAGGGCACGTGGTCCGTTGCCCCCCCGCCACCCATCTAATAATTATTGGCGGGCGTGATCGCCGAGCGCAATTCCTCTGGCCAACCTTGGTCTGGGAGCCAGGGGCGGGGCGGGCAGGACTGAATCTTCCTGTCAAGTTTTTTGGGAGGGTTGTATAACCCCCTCGCTCCGTGAAAAGATCTCGACGGACATGTTTTTGTTTGCAGTGTTCGGCCTCTGGGGGACCTCGCTGGGCCCAGGGATGATCCAAAAAGTACGCAGGATAAGAACCGGTCCCAGGGAATGGGTCGAGACCTCTGGGGGTCGACCTTGTGCAAAAACATGGCGACGGTGGCCTGGGCGGCGACCAGCGCAGGATCAGCTTCGACCCGATCGAATCGATATCGAGTCTGGCCCGTCCGATGCGATTCGATTCCCGGAGGAGAAACGCCTCACACATCATGTGCTGGGGATCGACGCGTTTTTGTTGGGCTCGGGGCTGGGACCCCCATGTCGTCGCCTCCGGCGCTCGCAGCGTGAGCCCCGATCCAAGACATCTCCGCAGAGCTCCAACTGTCTTTCGTTGCCGCTGTCTGTTGTACATCTTCGGTGCTCGGTCGATGCAATGTCGCATGATACCTGCACGGTACTCTGTTCGCTCTGTCGATCTCGACCCCGTGCCGATGCAGTTCGATCCGACGCACGTTCCGTTCCAACCCGATTTCCCGATGACCTGATGACTTGGAGGAAGTTCGAACAGGTTCGGGGGAACGACGAGCCAGGAAAAGAGAAGGGCGGACGGGGAAATCCCGAGCACGGTGGGGGGCAGTTCCAAGATTGGTCCTTGGAGAGGGGGCTGCCCTCGCGCCACGATCTTCTCGGTTCGGACGAAGGGTGGAGGGGGGCATTGGGAAAGGGAGGGGTAACCCCCCCCTCTGTCACTCGGCGGTGAAATGGGCTGGTCCTAAAACCTCTCCCCCCTCCTCCCCCCTTCTCCCCCTTCCTCTTCCTCCCCCTTCTGCTCCTCGTTGTCGTGGCTGTCGTCGTCGTCGCTGTTGCGCGGCGGGTGCCGCGGAAAAAACATAGTTTTAGCTCCCCCCTATTGGTCGGACCCCAGTCTGTGGACAAGGCCGCCGAACAAATAAGCAATGCCCCCTATTTACGCAGGACGGCAGAATTTCCTCTTGAGGTGCAAATGGCGATGATGAGTTCGCAGGACAACAGCGGCGCCGCCGAACGGACAGCGTCTGGACGAGCTGCGTGCAGCAATTGGGAGGAGAAAAATGCATTCATGTTTAGTAGGGCTCGCGCGCACGGAAAGTTGATGGAAGTGCGCGAGACAGCGCAGGACCCATTTAGGGAAGTTGATTACCTCCTCCCCCGTAGAATCTTAACACGGGCGGGTTCCAGGGTCCGCGGTTCCGTTTTTTCCAATTCTCCGTTTTGAGTAAAATATCAGTAGGACCCCGCACTTGCGGATAAGAATGAGAGCTCAGCGGCGACGTCGGTAGTCTGCGAGGCTCTGAAGAAACCCGCCGCAGGTGCATAATTTTTCAAGCTATTCAAGCTATACAACGAGCCCGCCGCAGGCGCCGATTTTTTGTTAAAGCAATGTAGGAGGGACGCGGGTTGGGTCGCAGGTGGGTCGCGGGTGGGTCAACGGTGGAACGCGGGTGGGTCGCGAGTGTGTCGCGGGCCGGGTCGCGGGTGGGTCGCGGTTGGGTCGCAGGTGGGTCGCGAGCGGGTCGCGGAGTGGGTCGCGGTTGGGTCGCGGGTGGGTCGGTGGTGGGTCGCGGTGTGTGTGTCGTTGGTGGGTCTCGGGTGGGTCGCGGGGGGGACGACGCAACAAAACAAGCAGAATCTTCGCCGTCAATCCCCCCTTCAGCCACGCACCCAGGGACAGTGAATGACCGTTCATTCCCCTCACTCTGAAACGCGGGGTCGACGGGACCCGACGCGGATGCAGAAAATCCGAAGTCGGATCCGCGCGGACGGAAATTTGACCCACCGAAACAAAAACCAAAACCAAAATTATATCCGCGCGAATTTCATTGGATCCGGCGGTGCTTATCTCATACGCGTGTGCTCCAGACTTCAAGCCGCCGTTCCTGGCCCAAGAGGAACACATGTTCGTCTTGGGGATGTATATTGGGGGGCTCAGTGCCTCTCTCGGTTACGACGTCTGATGATTGCAGCGGGTTTCGGCATCGCCGCTTGTGCACTTTCCTCGGTAACTTGGCGCTTCCTGTTCATAGGGTCGCAGTGAAAACCAGCCGCAGTGACCGATTCGCCAATTACAGTGGAGACCCATGCCAGGAAACACCCTGCTTGCCTCCAGGGTGCCCTGGGTTTCTTGGGTTTCGATGGTTTTGTTGTGGAAAGGGCGACGTTCTCGCACCTTGGATTTCTTGTGGAACGTTGTAGTCGGGCCCCTACTGTATCCGATCACTTCTTTTCTATCCTTCCCTTTCGTCCGACCCGGCCCTTGCACGCGCCGCTAGCCTTGCGTCGCCCATCCACATGCGGGGGGCCCATTTTGACCCGATCGATCCGATTCGACATCGAGTCCTCTCTCTTCGCGGGCGCCCGTCCGGAGGACGTAAAAAGACTGCGCGTTTGGTGGTTTGCCCTGCTCGTCTGCCGCGCTGTTCTGCCGTGTCGTTCTGCCCGCCCCGGGGCGCTGCCAGCGCCGCGGGGGGGGGCGGACGCGCCCCCCCCGTTCCAGCGCCGGGACGAGCCGCGTGCGAATGTCCACGAGGGCAATGAGCATACACCGCGTGTCAGCACGAGGCAACGCCAAATTAAAATTCCGGTGAGCATGGCAGCAGCGAGCCATTCGTATACAACTTCGCGTGTGTCTTGATGGTCTCTTGGCTTCGTTTGATGGTTTCGGGGGGGCCTGTTCGAGGCTACCTACCTGGGGGCCATTGGGGACCTCTTGGGGGTCTCTTTGGGGCCTCTTGGGATCTTACTTCAGACATCCGCCTGTAGGAGGACATGCCCGACCTGGCGCTGGACCCCTCCCTGCGCACTTAAGGACCACATCCCAGAAATCATTCCGAGCACCCAGAAAAGTATCGAAACAGTGTCGAACGAGAATCGCTCCCCAGGGCCCGACACGTGAAAACCCTCAAGTTTCGGTACTTTCCTCCTGGTGCTCGAAATTATTCCTGGCGATCAAGGCTCAAGTAGGTTGGAACATCATAATCCAAATAGATGGGGTCGGAGGATCGTGCCGCATCGCCGATGCATCGGCGATGCGGCTCGATGCGGAGCCCGATTTTTTCCACGCAGGCGTCGCCGATGCACCGCCGACGTCGACGCTGCATCGCCGGTGCATCGCCTTTGCATCGCCGATCCATCGCAGATGCATCGTCGATGTATTGGCGATACGACGCGATCCTCCGACCCCATCTGCTCGGACCCCATCTAAGAGGCCTCTTGACGTCGTGGACCGTCTTCGTTCTGGCCTCGTCTTGCAGCAAAAAAGCAGATTGAAGAACAAAAAAAACAGGAAAACGGACACATAATTCGAAGAGGAGAAAAACGCCATGAGCAAAAACTTTAGGCGCTCCGCGTGGATTTCTTGGATCCGCGCTGCCCCCCCCCTTGCGACACCTCCGGCGCCAGAGGGGGGTCCAGCGCAGATCCAATAAATCCGCGCGGAGCGCCAACATTTTATGTTCATAAGGTTTTCTCTTCTAATGACGAAGACAAAAAGCACGGTTTCGGTCGAGTCCTGGAGGGAAGCCCAACACCGACCCGAGACACCCACGTGGACCCTCGGAATTCTCAGTCTGTGCAGTCTGTGTTTTTGCTGACGGTCGGACTGAGGCATAAGATCGAGGTCGGTTCGGGGAGGGTACCCTGATGTCTTTCGTGTGTGTGTTGGATGCTCTTGTGCATCCTGGGACAGGGTACCCTCGAATGCTCTTCATTTTGGCCGGAGGAGGGCCCCATGCTCTTGGAGGATGCTCTTCTGTCCTGGGTCTGGCCCGATTCCATGGAGCGCGCCGCACACCGTGGCGGCTCCCACGAGGGGGCTGGCTCGAGGGAGGCGGCCCTATGAGGAGGCGGGGGATGCTGCTGAGGCTGCCTTCTTCGACGCCAGACGGGCCATCTGCTTACGAAGGCCCCCGCCTCCGAAGCTACCGCCCCGCCTTGTGAGGAGGCCGCCCCCCCTCGCGCCACCCCCGCGCGAGCACCGCCAGCCTGCGCGCTCCGCCAGTCTTGGTCCGCTCGTCCACAGACCGAAGACCTTGTCGTCGTCATCGTGATCATGATCATTCTTGGCATTCTGATTTGTGCTGCCATGATCGGCTTGTTCTTTTCTCTTTCCATCGTCCACCCCCGTGCCGTGAGAGAGGCGGAGGACCTCGCGAAGGCCAAGGCGGACGCGCTCCGGGAGCTCCAGCGCGAGAAGGCGGGCGGTTCAGCGCACCGCCCCAGGGCGGGGTATATTGGGGGCCAGGTCGCGAGGAGGGAGTTGTTGGAAGGTCGCGGGGAGAGGAAGTGGAGATGATGATGCTGCTGATGATGCTGATGATGCTGCTGCTGCTGATGATGATGATGATGATGATGATGATGATGATGATGATGTTGCTGATGATGATGCTGGTGATGCTGATGCTGCTGATGATGATGGTGGTGGTGTTGGTGGTGGTGGTTGTGGTGATGGTGATGGTGATGGTGATGGTGATGGTGATGGTGATGGTGATGGTGATGGTGATGGTGATGGTGGTAATGGTGATGGTGATGGTGATGGCGTTGACTGTGATGGTGATGGTGTTGATGATGGTGATGATGTTGATGATCATGCTGGCGATGCTCATGCTGATGATGGTTATGAACATGATGTTGATAATATTGTGGATGCTGCTGCTGCTGATGATGATGATGATGCTGCTGATGATGATGGTGATGATGATGATGATGATGATGATGATGATGATGATGATGATGATGATGATGAATAGGAGGAGGAGGAGGAGGAGGAGGAGGAGGAGGAGGAGGAAGAGGAAGAGGAGAAGGAGGAGACGGCGGAGGAGGAGGAAGTAGGAGGAGGATGAGGAGACCCGCGGGAGGAGGATCGACGGAGATGCGCGCGGATCTCGTAGATCGGCTCTGGGTCCTGGTGGCGCATCCGGCGCCGCCCCTGGCGCGCACCCTGCGCGCCAGGAGAGTGTGGGGCCGGCGCCAACCCCAGAAATTCGCGTGCATTTTCGGAAGTTCTCATGGCGAGTGAACCTTTGATTCTAGGGGGGAAGGATCGAAGGATTCATTTGCACAGTCAACCCGCATAGCAAGGATGGGCAGCCTTCCCAATGGTACCCTTGCGTCCTGGACTGCTCGGTCCATCCTTGGCCACTTTCGTTGGCCGCGCCCTGCTCGACAAGCCTCGGCGTGGCCTTCCAGGGCCCTTGCATCCTTGTCGTGCATCCTTCTGGTACGGGTCGACTGTAAGTTTAAGTCGGGCCTGTCCCTCTACAGGGGGAGTTTTCAAAGAAGGTGAAACATAGTCGGAGGACGATTGTTGGATCATTATTTGACCATTTTGGGGTGTATGTTTTGACTATTTTTGTTTTTCGTCCGAAGTCCGCCTGTAGGGGGACAGGCCCGACCTATATGTACGTCCTTTTCGAGCGTTCTGGAACGCTCTCGGGGCAGCCTGGGGCGCCCTTGGACGGCCGCGCCGCTCGCTACCTCTCGGGAGTTGTTGGCGGTGCCCTTGATCCGAGGTGCCCCCGGCTTTTTCGCACTTCTTTTGAGGCCCCCGGGGCCCTCGGGGGCCTCGCGAGGGGTGCCCGGGAGGCCGCCTGGGCCACCCCGGGAACCCTGGGGGTACCTTCTGGGCCAGGGGTATTGCTGGCAGCATACGAGCATCTGTCAGGAGGGAAAAAAACACACAGACACACTTAATCGTCGATTCCGCAGAAAATATGGGAAAATATGGGAAGTGGGGGGGAAGACGAAAACACAGAAAATATGGGAAAATATGGGGAATTCTTTTATTTGTGTGTATTTATTTGTGTCCCAGGGTCCCTTCAATCTTCCAGGTCCGCCAGCCCTCGGGGATGCTCGGCTCCACTCTCCGCCCGAGGGTGTCCCCTGCCTGCCTGCGCACTTGCTGGGCCCTGGAGCTGCCTGCGCACGCGAACGCGAAGGAGGCCCTCCCTCCCCAGCTGCAGCGCGCGTCGCGGACGCGAAAAACGCGCGGGGCGGCGGCACCGATATTCGCGAAAGCGCCCACGTCAAGAGTCCCCGCGGCCAAGCAGTCGCGAGTCCAGCTCACAGTGCCAATCTCCTTTTCAATCCCCTTTTCCTCATCCTCCTCCTCCTCTCCTCACTTCTCATCCTCCCGCCGCCCCGCCCCCTCCTGACCAGACTTGCCCAGTAGCTGCTCGCCCTCGTCCTCCTCCCCTCGCACGGCGGGGGCAGGGGCAAGTGGTGGGACGCAGGCATGGGCGCGGGCGCCGTGCTCTGTCCTCTGGGCTGGACCTCCTTGGGAGGCCGGCTGCAAGAGAAAGTATGGGGGGGGCACGGGCGGGCCTCGAAGTGCGAGGCGAAGGAGAGGCTTGTGCCTCTCCACGGGACCCGCCGTTGTGCCGCAGCCTCCGCCCTGGCCTCCCTGCGGCGGCGCGCCTCGAGTCGATGCTCAGCAATGCGCTCGATCTGCGCTGCCGTGAGGGGTGGCGGCGGGGGGGGGGAGAAGAGGAAACGGGCAGAGGCCCCAAGAAAACCTCAATATCAAGCTCATAGCTCAGGTCCCCGGGAAAAAGGGGAGAAGAGGGCTCAGGAGCAGGAGTAGGAGCTGGGTCGGGAGCTGGTGTCGGAGCATCTTCACACTGCACCCGTTCATACTGAAACCTGTGGGAGGAGAGGTGGGTGAAGGAGAGGAGGGGAGGAGAGAGGGGTGGAGGAGGAGTAAAAGTGTTGGAGGATGACTAGTAAGAGGAGAATCGTCCTCCCCCGTCCCTTCCTCTCCATTCTTGGTGTGTGTTTATGTTAGTGTGTGTGTGTGTGTTTGTGTTTGTGTTTGTGTGGTTGCGCGTGGTTACATGTGTGTGTGTTTGTGTGTGTGTGTTTGTGTTTGTGCGCCTGTGTACGTACGAGCGTGCGTGTGTATGCGTGCGTGCGTGTGTATGTGTGCGTGCGTGCGTGTGTGCGTGCGTGCGTGCGTGTGCGTGTGTGCGTGTGTGCGTGTGTGTGCGTGTGTGCGTGTGTGTGTGTGTGTGTGTGTGCGTGTGTGTGTGTGTGCGTGTGTGTGTATGTGTGTGTGTGTGTCTGTGTCTGTGTCTGTGTCTGTGTCTGTGTCTGTGTGTCTGTGTCTGTGTGTGTTTGTGTGTGTGCCTGTGCGTGCGGGCCCGCTGGTATCAACGTGCTGCTTGATCCGTCGTCGGCATTCATCAGTGCGGGCCCGCGTCGTGAAACGGCAGCAGCAGGTGCGGGCGCCCCCTTCCCTTTTGTCTTCTCCCCTTATCGGCTGGAATCTCGGGTGCGGCTCGAAGTAGTCCTGGCCCGAAGGTGTCCCCAGCTCTTCGCGCCATTTTGGAGCCCTTGGGGGCCCGCTGGGCCTCGTGAGGGGTGCTTTGGAGGCTGTCGGAGCCTCCCTGGGCACCTTGGGCCAGGGAAGCGCGTGGCAACGCCCGACTTTCTCGGGGTCCAGAGCGAAGCTTCCAAGCTGCTGGGTTCTCTGGGGCGCGGTCCGATGGTTGCACCTGTCCTACACGAAAGGCGCTGCACTCAGGACCCCTTTGGGCTCAGCGGGGGCCCATGGCTTTCTGGCCGTTCCTTGGATCAGGGTCGGGGAACTTACTCGGTGCCGAGGCTCGCCGTGGCCAAGGAGGTTCCTCTGCTCCTTCCTCACGCAGCGTTCCTGATGGTAGCACGGCGACAGCACAGGGAGGCGGGACCACACGCAGGCAGAGCACGGCTGTGTTACATGCCTTGGGCTTTGGCAGCATTTCTTTCGTCGAGCCGCGCCAGAATTGAAAATGGGTAGGGAGCGATGGTGGGGGGGGGGGGGCTACCACAGGTTTTGGTTTGCGGTCGTGGCAGCAGGCCCACGTCCAGTCCAGTCCAGGAGCCTTGCGCAGCCCACAGAGCGCGAGCAATTGTTTGAAAATGTGCACGGAAGCGGATGCCTTCAGCACGCCGCCCATGCCTCGACCACGCGAGCGCGACTTTCTTTATTCTAGCCTCCATGTTCGCAGAGATTCCGGCCTTCGTTGTTTCTGGCCTCCCCGTTGGGTCGTGGATGCCTTTGTCTGCTCTCCGACTGGCCCCGAGAGGCTCCGCTGCACTCCCCTTCCGAGATGGGGGGCCGGCCCCCGTGCGCGAGGCGCTGCTGGAGAGGGCGGCGAGGCGGCTGGAGAAGAAGGCCGTGGAGGCCGAGGTGCTCAGGGAGAGGTGGTCGTCCCAAGACCAGGGCGCCGCGCGGGCCGCGACCAAAAGGGGCGCAGGGAGGCAGGGGGTGGGGCGAGGGAGGGAAGCGGGGAGGAGAGAGAGGACGTTGTCCATTCGTCCTTCGACGTTGAAGCCGTCGCCTCCAAGGAGAGGTGGTCCCCAGACCAGGGCGCCGCGAGGGCCGCGGCACAGCGACGCAGGGAGGCAGGGCTCACCTCGACTCCTCCGATCCGATTCGATGCCGATTTCGATGGGTTCCGATTCCGAGTCGATTCGACTTCGGCTTCTCCAATGAAGGCCTCCTGAGCCGTCCGATCTCCGCCGATTCGACTTCTCCCGACTCGGCTGCCGATTTCCGCCATTCCGACCCCTTAGGATCGCCGATCCGACTAATCGAGTCGAGTCTGGGCTCCCTTGGGGAGGAGGAGCGGGTTGCGAGGGAGGAAAGCAGGGAGGAGGGGGGGATGGTTTCCCTGTGTCGTTCGACGCTGGAGCCCATCGCCTTCAAGGAGAGGTGGTCCCAAGACCAGGGCGCCGCGCGGGCCGCGACCGAAAAGGGTGCAGGGAGTGGGGGGGCCGGGGGGGCGAGGGATGGAAGCGGGGAGGAGTGGGAGGACGTTTTCCATTCATCCTTCGATGTTGAAGCCGTCGCCTCCAAGTACAGGAGAGTAGTCCCACGGCCAGGGTGCCGCGCGGGCCGCAGCCAGGGGGCGCAGGGAGGAGGAGGAGGAGGAGGAGGAGGAGGAGGAGGAGGTGGAGGAGGAGGAAGAGGAGGGAGTGGCGCGGGAGAGCTCGACGGGCCTCGATCTCCCCGCGATGTAAAACAAGCAGACATGACGAAAAGCTGTCTCGTATGTTCGCCTTTTGGTCGCCCTCGAAGGGCCCTCCCGACCGTCAAGGAACGACTCAGGACGAAAAGCCGGTCCCGGGGATGGGGTCGAGCCAGTCTTGGGGATGGAGTCGAGATCTCCAGGGGTCCACGTTGTGAACAAAACATGCGTCCGCGAGGGGGTCATGCTTGCAATGCACCATTCGATTGACGAGGTTGTCCAAGCGTTTGCGCAACCTGTGTTTCAAGGCGCGCGGCCGTCAGGATCTACGAACGATGTGCTTGGTTGGTTATGTTTACTTTCGTTTCGGGAAGTTCTGAATACGGGAGGACTGCAGGGACAGAATTTCTGGAGGTGTGCGCGCCCTTCGATGGGCCTTGTGCATCTTGGACATGCCTCTGGTGCCGCTCCTGGCGCGCTCAACGTGCCAGGGAGGGGGAATGAGCAGCAGCTCAGTCATCTATCGGCGGCGCGCCGAAGGGGCGAAGTGAAGGGGTGCAGGCCTTCTCAGAAGGCGGCGGGGCTTCTCAGAAACTCATCTGGCCTTCTGAGAAGCCCTCTGCGGCCCAGGAGAAGGCTTGGAACGTTTCTCCGAAGGCCGGGGGCATTCTGAGTCTCCTGGGGAGACCAGCCCACTCTGCCTTCCTCCCGGGGCGCGCCGCCAAAGCCCGAGGGCGATGAGGGAGAGCTCCGGCGGCTGACTCCGACATCTTACAGTGGAGACCCATGCCAAGAAACACCCTGCTTGCCTCCAGGGTGCCCTGGGTGTCTTGGATGTCGATGGTTCCAACGCCAAAGGTCAATGGACGTCCTGGGGTCTCAGAACTGGGTTTCCTATGGAAGGTTTCTTGTGGTCGGGACCCCATTGCATCGGCCCTGGACCACCATTCCTGGCGCGCGTAGAGCGCAGCGGGGGGGGAGCCGCGCCGAACCAGAAAGCCCACGCGGATCCACCGTGCCGAGACCTGCTCCTTCCGTGGGTTTAGTATCGCTCGGACGTGTGCTTTTTTTCGCGGCCAGGATCATTGAGGGGCATCCTGGATCATCCTGCGAAAAAAACACGCACGAAACCGAACAAAAACACAGGGAATGGACGTCCGAACGATGGCCAGTGGGGGGGCGGGGGCGTTGCCGAATCGGCTCGCCTGCCGGCGCCCAAGGGGCCTAAGTACGTCGGGAGCCTTGAGACGGGGGTCAATGCAAACGGGGGTCAGCCAGGACACTGGATCCTGCAGGATCCTGCGAAGAGCCCCTCTGGCCGACCCGGGTTAGCGAGCCGCCCGTGGCCGCGAGGCGGCCGCGCATATTGGCTGACCCGGGTTTGCGAAGACCTGCGATGCAGTTGTTGTTTCCTGCATTGCAGTTTTTTGGTTTCCTGCTGACCCGGGTCTGGATTGACCCGGGTGAGAGGATCCCCGAGTACGTGAGCGTTCTCTCACGTGGCCAGACGAGCCTGCACAGTGGGCAAGTATGAAGTCGGGCCTGCCCCTCTACAGGAGGAGTATTCCAAAATAGTCAAAATATAGTCAGGGGACGATTCTTAATTTGTTATGAACATTTGGGGGCATGTTTGGACTATTCTTGATGTTTCGTCCAAAATCCCCCTGTAGGGGGACAGGCCCGACCTAGGGCAAGCAGCTGGCCCTCCCGCGGCTGCCCCAGCGACAGCTCGCTCGTGCCTCCCGCCGGAGGGGGGGGGGGGGCGCGGAGCCCTGCGGCGCCCTGTGGGGCTCGGAGGCGCCGAGGGACGTGCCGCAGAAGCCCTCCTCCTCCTCCTCCCTCCTCCTCCCTCCTCCTCCTCCTCCTCCCTCCTCCTCCTCCTCCTCCTCCTCCCTCCGTCTCCTCCTCCTCCTCCTCCTCCTCCTCCCCCCGTCTCCTCCTCTTCCTCCTCCTCCTCCTCCTCCTCCCCCTGCTCCTTGCGGACCTTCCGTCCTAGCTTTCCCCCCCTTGTTCGGAATGATCTGCGTATGCGGTTTTTCCTTGAACTGCGTGAGGTTTCCATGTGTTTCGGAGAATTCTTCCGCACCGTTCGTGGAGGTCGGAAGGTAGGGAAGGTGGAGGTGGAGGGATCGACAGCAAGCTGATCATCTCGAGGAGCAACACGGCATGAACATAACATGTTCGGAGTTCCGCTACAGTCTCTTGGACCGGCGCTGGACCTCCTCCCTGCCGTGCAAAACGCGCAAGGGGCTGCGACGGAGGCGCCGCCAGGAGGGTCCATCGCCGATACCAGAAATCCGTGCGGATCTTCGAACGTTTATGCTGATACAGTTGTCTGTTTATCTAGAGGAGCTCAGGCATCTAGCCCAGTTATCTTGCGTGGACAGTCGCGATTCCGATCCGCCTTCTCGAGACAAAATGCAACACCGTAAAAATCACGACCGGAGCCTTGGACTCGATCTTTGGAGCCAGATCGGTCTGCGAGGCTCCCGGGGCCCGAAATAGGGCGAAATCGCCGGGCGTGACACAATTGCAGCGCCCAGATCTCAGGGTTGTAATACCTTCCACATTCGGATGCAGCACCTGGCAGGCCAAATTCTGATTTTGTCCTGGTCCGAAATCCGGCTTGATCTGGCTTGATCCCGCTGAATCCAGCTTAATTCCGCTTAATTAATGCGAGGCTCTTTTTGGCGTAACAGCGCCCCATTGGGGCTTACTCCTCCTTAGCCCTTCCGACGAATAGACCTCCCAGTATTTGCCTCTTGACTTCCAGAGCTCGACCCGGACCCCGGCCCCTGCCCCCTGTGCCCGACGCTCTGGCCTCCCAGGTGGGGTCCGAGAGCAGGGGTCGGAGCATCGCCGATGCACCGCCGATGCGGCTCCGTGTGGAGCCCGAGGCGACGGCACCGATGCCTCACCTGCCTCTCCGATGCACCGGCGAGCTGGCGCGATCCTCCGATCCCGTCCACTCGGAGCCCATCCATAGGGCCCAGGAGGCCTCCAGACGCGCGGTGCTCCGGGGCCCCAGGCGCCTCCGAGTTGGGCCTGCGGGCGCGGCTGGAGGAGGAGCTGGAGGAGCAGCTGAGCGACCTCAGGGAGGAGAAGGCGCCTCCGGCTCGGCGCAGCGAGGGGGCGGGAAGAACGGGCGGGGGCGGAGGAGGAGGAGGAGGACAAGGAGGAGGAAGAGGAGGACGCCTTGGGCCAGGGGCCCTCGAGAAACACCCGGTTTGGGGCCGAGGGGGAGGCGGAGGGAAGGAGGAGGGCTCCGGTACCCAGCGCCCCGGCCGCTTGGAGACAGGAGCCCTCGGATCTCCCGGCCCCTCTGCCCCAGGGCTTGCCTCTCGCGGAGTGTTTGCCTCTGCTCGCTCGGGTGTCCTCGGCCTGCCCCCCCCCCTCGGTCCTGACCATTCACTACGGCGCGTGAAAACGACCACAGCCACTGCTTTTCGTTTGTTGCTGCTTTCCAGCCCGCAAAAAACAAAGCAGTGGTTGTGGTCATTTTTGTTGAGCTTGGCACCAGGGAAATGACTACAACCACTGCTTCTTTTTCGGCCGGCTGGAAGACGGCGCAGACAAGAAGCAGTGGCTGTGGTAATTTTCCCGTCCCGTATTCAAGCAGGGAGCCCAGAGGCGCCCAAAAACATGCACTGGAGACCTCCACCCTCGATCGCCCCGATCCCCGCCCCGCGCCGATCGATCGCCCCCCCCTGGTGGGGCGGGCTCAGGCGGCCCCGCAGGGGTCAAAAACATGCCAGCAGACCTCGCGATCGTGTCCTTCATTCGTTGTTTCGCCGATCGGCGCGGGCCCTCGCAACAAACGTGTGTGAGGCAAACGCGCCCCTTCTTTTTACGACGCTGATTGTACGAGTGGAACCAATAGTACACACTCGAGATCGTAAAGTAATCATATACTACGACATCTGAGTTTCGGCACTCCGGCGCCCCCGCCGAGCTCTCAGAGGGCCGCCCCCCGGGGCGCACATCGGCGCCTGTCCTGTCCTGTCCCCTTCCCCCCATGGAGTAGGTCTTTGCTGGTTTGGGCGCCTGTTTCAGGCAGGTGGGGTCTCCCCCCATGGGACGCACTGCTGCAAACGGTGGCGCTGAGCAGAGGTCCGGCCAGCCAGGCCCCCCCCCCTCCCCTCCCCTTTCCGCCCAGTGTCGAAACACCAAATAAGAAAACGCTCGTTTCCCACGCTCCGACGTTGCCGTCCACAGGCTCGCCGCCGCCGTCGTCGCCGCCGCCCGCGTCGTCGCCGCCGCCGCCGTCGCTGGCCGCCGCCGGCCGTCACCGAGGGATCGTCCTCGCCGCCGCCCTCGGAGGAGAGCGCCGCCGTCTCGCGCCGCGTGTCGCCCGCCTCGCCCGCCGTCGTGCCGCCCCCCGGCCGGCGGCGGCCGCGGCGGCAGGCGATGCTGGAGGAGACCCGGCGGGTGTGCGCAAGAAAGGTTTGAGGACCAACCTGGGATCCAGGCGCTGCATTCGAAGAAGAAAAAACGCCATAAGCATGAACTGTTGGCGCTTCGCGCGCGGATTTCTTGGATCCGGGCCAGGCCCCCCCCCGCGGCGCCTCCGGCGCCGCCCCTGGCGCGCTCCGCATCCCACGGAGGGGGGTCCAGCGCCGATCCAAGAAATCCGCGAGGACCGTCAAAAGTTGATGTTTATGCAAATGTTCCTCCTTTATATGGTCGGGACTCGCGCACTGACCCGGGCTTGGGTGCAGGCTCCTGCCGGATCCTGCAGGATCTTGCAGGATCCTGCAGAGCCCGACTGCACGGGTCTGGATTGACCCGGGTCAGCAGGTCCCCGAGGGGGTGAGGACCACCCCGAGATCCAGGCGCTGCCTGGTTTTCACGTCGGGCGTTGCCGCCCCAGGTTTCGGGCCCCGTGACCATCGCAGATCCAGCTCGAGCAGTGCCGCAGGAAGATGGGGCCTGTGGGCGGCGCCACCCAAACATGCCAATAATACGAGTGCGTGGCTCCCCGGAAGGGGCGACGCGCGCACGCCGACACATGTCTCGGGACACAGTACTACAGGATGTTTGTACGATCTACGGGAAACGATCTGCTACCTGCTACAGGATGTTTGTACGATCTACTACAGGATGTTTGTACGATCTCGGGAAACGGTCTACTACAGGATGCTTCTACGATCTACGGAAACGGTCTAATATAGAACATGATGTCTCGGGAAACGATCTACTACAAGATGATTGTACGACATGCTCGGTTCGGACGCACGCCTCCAAGGACGACTCATAGTATCAGTAGTTCCTTCTGAGTCCCAGGTCTCTGGAGATCTGGTCGAGACTTCTTGCGATGTTTTTTTCTGCGACGACGGATCTCAGCGTACAGTCGACCCGCCTGGTAAGGATGAACGATTTTCCAAGGAGACCCTTGCATCCTTCCACTTCGGCCGATCCTTGGCCGCGTTCGCTGGCCGCGCCCCGCTCGCAAAGTTCCGATCGTGCGCCCTGGCTGTCCGCGTTGACTATAGGCCCAGACCCCCTTTTGTCTATCCTTAGCCGCGTTCGCTGGCCGCGCCCCGCTCGCAAAGCGCCAGCGTGGCCTTCCGGGGCCCTGGCATCCTCATCGTGCTCCCTGGCTGTACGCGTCGACTGCAGGCCCAGACCCCCCTTTTGTCTATCCTTGGCCGCGTTCGCTGGCCGCACCCCGCTCGCAAAGCGTCGACGTGACCTTCCGAGGCCGGAGGAGGAGGAGGAGGAGGAGGAGGAGGAGGAGGAGGAGGAGCATGCTCATCCTGCGCCCTGGCTAGGCGCGCTGACCTGCAGGCCCCAGACAGACCTCCCCCGCGGCGGGCCTGTGCCCGTGGACCCCCGCGGCGCGTCCGCGTTTGGCGCCGCCCCGCCGCTTCAGGTTTCACGTCACATGGGGGTTGATAGGCCTCCTACCCTGACACGTCGATTAGCGAGTGGGCCGTCTTCGGTCCGCGAGAGGGCGTCGCAGCCGTCATTTTGCGGGTCCAGGTCCGTCGGTTTCGGTCCCAGGCCGTTTTCGCTAAAGGGAGGTTTACTAAACGGAGTCGTATTCACCGCCGTGTCATATGGGGGATTCAGGAGGGAAACAAACACACAGACAACAATCGCTGACTCCCAGGAATATATATGGGAAATATGGGAAGTGGTCGGGAAGACGAACACCCAGAGAAAATATGTGAAAATGTATGGGGCATCCTGGGATTTGTGTCTACCTATTTGTGTGTCCCATGGCCCCTTCAGGGATGTGCTCTCGGGGGGGATGATGCATCGGCACCCCAACTCGTCAGGGGCAACTTTTGGGGTGGAGGTTCGAGGCTCGAGGTTCTCGGGCGTTTTGGTCGGGCCTCGTCGGTTTTCCAGCCTCGGGGTGCCCTCCAGCAGCTGCGGCTCGCAGAGAGCGTTCGGGGGACGCCCAGTTTGTCCCGAACGGACGCCGGAGAGAAGAGCTATGACCCGACAGCTGTAGGGGCTGAGGGGCGGGGGCATCGATCCCCAATCGCCCACTGATCGCGGGCTGGGGCCCGACAGCCCGATAGCCCACCCAGGAACGTGCGGACTGGCCAGCGGGGGCCTGTCGCCGATCTATCCGCGGTGCATCGCCGATGCCAGCTCGATGTTGCCCCCACCCCCTTGAGGTGTCCCCCTCACCGCCACCCTCCCAGATCTCCGCCGGAATCATTTTTCACGCTTCGCGTGACCCCTGCCAGCCCATTCGGAAACTCTGCCCATGAGAGTTGTCGGGCCAGGGGACGAAGAAACACATGTAGTGAAACAGAGCGGGCAACCAGGGTGAACAGAGAGGTCTCTGGGAGCGAGGGGGTTGTCTTCGAGGTCCTCTTCGGGACATCCCTGGGGCCCACAGTTGAGGCGATGGAAGGAGGAGGAGGAGGAGGACGAGGAAGACGACGACGACGACGACGACCACGCCGACGAAGGAACAGGAAAACAATGTGGGCAAGGACGAGGACGAGGAGAAGGAGGAGGAGGAGGAGGAGGACAACGAGGACGAGGACAGAGCCCTGAAATCGGATCTTGGAGCCCTCTTTGGACTCTTTTGGGGATCTTGGGGTCCTCCTCGAGCTTGAGGGGTCTTGGGGCCCTCTTGGAGCCCTCTTGGGGGTCCCTTGGGAACCTAGGAGGGCATCTTGTGGCCATCTTGGAGGCCATCGATCAAAAGAAGGGAGGTTCTAAATGTGCCTTCCCCCCTGGGGCACTCGAACTTACCTCTTGGGGCCCTCTTGGGGCGCGCTTGGGCTGCTCTTAGACGCTTTTCGGGCCGCCAGGGGGGCATCTTGGGCCCTTGGGTCTCCCTTGGGCCATCTTCAGGCATCAAAAGCGCATTGGAACCGAAGAGGAGAGACGGAACAATCATTTATGTTCTGTAGTGTTTGAATGATGTTGGCCTTTTGGGGGACATCATGAGGGGGCTCCAAGAGCATTTGGACCCGTCTTGTGGCCCTCGTCGGACATCTCGCAAGTACGATGGAAGCTTTCGTGAACTACCGTCTGCTATCTTGAGCCATTTGGCAGGCCATCTTGGAGCATCGGAGGCCCACTCGGAGTCATCGTGGGTCTCTTTTGAAGGATATTGGAGTTCTCTTGGAGCTTTTCTGGGGGATCTCGGGGCCCTTTTGGGGCCCTCTTGGAGCCCTCTTGGGGTTCCCTTGGTAGCCCAGGGGGGGCTCTTGGGGTTGGAGGCCATCGATTCAAAGGGTATCATCGATTTGCCTCCCCCCCTGGGGCCATAAAAATTGCAAAACTTGGGTCCGACACCATAATACAACAAATGACAATCTTGGACTTTCTGACGCCCCGCGAACGCCTCAATAAATCTCATGGATGGGGTGGGTAATCTTCCCGGAGGGGAAGAGGTCTTGGGAATAGGAACGACAGAATTCGTTTGACCACTTTGCCCACAGGGCTGGTGGTTTTCCTCACGTTTCGCGTATATTTCGGTCCTTACGCCCTCTAGACTTTTCCATGCGGGCCGCTAATCAAAAAAGTATCTTTACCAGCAGGCGTTCGACTCGTTTCGCGCGCCCGATAACCAAAACGTATCTTCACCAGCAGCCCATTCAGAAACGTTGCCCATGAGGGCTGACGGAACATGGGAGGAAGAGACGCATGTTGAATCATGGTGAATTGGGAAGCAGAGGAGGAGGGGGAGGATGAGCATGAGGAGGAGGGGAGGAGGATTGCCCAGAGCATCAAGAGGGCCTCAAGCCCGAGGGCCAGGAGGGCTGGAGGAGGCCGGGGCAGGAGGCGGAGGGGAGGAGGGGGAGGAGAAGGAGGAGGAGGAGGAGGAGGAGGAGGAGTAGGAGGAGGAGGAGGACGAGGAGGAGGAAGAAGAGGAGGAAGGACGAGGAAGAGGAGAGGAGGAGGAGGCGGAGGAGGACAGATGACAACGACGAGGAGGACGAGGAGGAGGAGGAGGAGGAGGACGAGGAGGAGGAGGAGGACGAGGAGGAAGACAAGAAGGAGGAGGAGGAGTAGGAGGAGGAGGAGGAGGAGGAGCAGGAGGAGGAAGGACAATGATTCCCTTCCGAAGCTGTCATCGTGCTGCCTCCGCCCTGGTCTTCTCTCCCCGCCCCCCCCCCGACGGCCGGCCCTGCCGGCAGGAGCGGGCCGTGGCCGCCGAGCGGCGGGCGGCGCACCACGACATGGAGCTCAGGGACTCCCGGCGGCCCTCGCCCCGCCGAAAGTCAGGCGATCGCAAACATGGATCGGCGGCGGGGCCCCCAGGGCGGGTCTGGGGACCGATTTTGAGCGTATTTGCCCTTCCCGCCCCCCCTCCCTGGCCGCCTTAACCGGGCCGAACGAAAGGGGATAGGGAAAGGGGGGGGGGGGGACGAAATCTGCTGCATGCAGCTGGTTTCGGCCCCGCCGCCGGGCCCAGTCCTCGATTCATGGGCGCCTTCTGGCGCCGGGAGGCGCTGGGAAAATCAGCTGCGTGTGCTGATTCTCTACCCCACCCTTTGCTATCCCCCCCTTTCGTTCCCCCGACTTCAGTTGGAGGATCCATGGCCGATGCATCGGCGATGCGGCTCGATGTGGAGACCGATCTTCTCCACGCCGACGTCACCGATGCATCGCCGCAGACGTCGCCAATGCAATGGCGATGCATCGGTGATGCGTCGCGATCCGCCGACCCCATCCACTCGAACCCCCTATGGGAGCGCAGGGGCAACGTTTCGGGGGGGAATAGGCTCAGGAAGTTTCGGTGCCTGGGCCCTCACTGGGCCCCGGAACCGGCAGGGCCGTTTTTGCACCGTTTGCGAATATGTATCTCTTGCAAACGAGAACGGTGACAAAAAACGGCAACCGGAAACGGCAACACAGACGGCTCCGGAATTGGAACCAGAACCAGATGCGGCAAACAAAAACAGCGACGGAACCAGAACAAATCCAGCGCCAGAGCTTTGGGTGCGAATTCATGGAGGGCAATAAATGGGGGGGGAATGGTGCCCTGTTCGGGCCTTGAAGGCCCCCTCTTGGCCCGAAAGGGCCCCTCTGTGGGCCCCAGAGCGCCCTTTCACGTAAGAGCGACCCTTCGCGGGAGCGACCTCTGGTCCGGGCCCAATGGGGTCCCCCGATCGCCGAGCGCGATGCGGTAGTAGCGTCGTGCGCGCTCGTGTGTTGGTCCTCCCAGTGGCCCCCAAAAAGCCGCGCACCAAAGGCCACTCTTACCCAGACCGAAGCAGAAACGGCAACACGGAACTGACAACAAAAACGGCTCTGTCGTTTCCAGAGCCCGCTGAGCTTGGGCCGGCCCAGGGCGGTCTCCAGCAGCTGCTGCGCCCCCTCGAGTGCGCGCTCCTGGGGGGCCGGCATCGTCCTGACCGCCCCTACCCCTTGTGCGCGCCGCCAACTAGCGATGTTCGATCATGGGCCCTTGGTTCAACGAAACCGTTCGCGCCGAAGACTGTCGAAGACCGTCTGAATGCCGTCGAAGACCGCCAGAAGATCGCCCAAGACCGCCGAAGGAGGAGGTCCATGGGCGAACATGAGGTGTCAGAATAATCCTGACTGTGGAGGGGTACCCTTCTGTTCTTTGTGTTCGGGCTTGCGGGCGCCTGCAGGACCTGCGGCGCCGCTGCGCCTTCGCCGAGCGCGAGGCGGACGAGATGAGGGAGGCGCGACGACGACGACGACGGACGACGACGCCGCCGCCGCCGACGACGACGACGGACGACGGACGACGGACGACGGCCGACGGCCGACGGCCGACGGCCGACGGCCGACGGACGACGGACGACGACGACGACGACGACGACGACGACGACGACGACGACGACGACGACGACGACGACGACGACGACGACGACGGACGGACGACGGACGACGGACGACGGACGACGGACGACGGACGACGGACGACGGACGACGGACGACGGACGACGGACGACGACGACGACGACGACGACGACGACGACGACGACGACGACGACGACGACGACGACGACGACGACGCCTTCGCCGAGCGCGAGGTAGCCGGGACTACGACGGCGGCGGCGGCGGCGACGGCGACGACGACGACGGCGGCGGCGGCGGCGGCGGCGACGACGACGACGCCTGCGCCGAGCGCGAGGTAGCCGGCCAGCGGGGAGAGCCGAAGGGGATAACGTCAGCTTGTGGTGAACAAAAGGTGCCGTGGGCCGGAGATCACAGAAGCTGCCGCTCGTCTTGGATTGAATGCCCAAGGAGGTCTTTAATGTAAGACCCCCTCCTTTGTTTCTCGGCGGTGAAAAAGACTGGTCCTAAAACCTCCTCGGCGCGGCGGAGATTGTTTTCCTATGTTGTTGTGAGTGCTGGAATCGTGTTGGGCTTTGTTGTTCTCTCAGGGAATAATGCCCCCTGGGCTACCCTCCACTATACCTGCTAAGGAGGAGGGGGGATGAAGAGAAGAAGGAGGAGGAGGAGGAAGAGAAAAGGGGAGGAGGAGGAGGAGGAGAAATGAGTGTGAGAGGAGGAGGAGGAGGAGGAGGAAGAGGTGGAGGAGGACGAGGAGGAGGAGGAGGAGAAGGAGGAGGACGAGGAGGAGAAGGAGAGGGAGGAGGAGGAGGAGGAGGAGGAGGAGGAGGAGGAGGAGGAGGAGGAGGAGGAGGAAGAGGAGAGGCAAGATGAGGAGATATTGAACAGGGGGGCTCCTGTGAGGGCCGCACCCTGGCGCATGAGAGTGCAATGAGCCGCTGCATGAGAGCGCTGCTGGCGGGCGCCGCGGGGAATGGCAGAAAACCAAACCGTCAATAGGTCCGCCGAACAAATATTGAATTACACCTGATTAGGGGGGTTCTCAAGACCTTTCGAGGTGAACTCATCGGCGAATAGTGCCCGGAAGCGCGGCAGCGCCCCAGAAGTGCTCACAGAAGGCTCAACTGGCGCCCACTAGCGAGCAATAACACCGAATACTGCCATGCGAGGGAGATGCATCGTGTCCGCTTGCGCGCGACTGGGCGCGCTGCTGGGCGCCGTGGGGACGACCCGAAGATTCCGTGACTTGTTCTTCAACGATGCCCCCCCGCCTCCGATGGCTGGTGAACGGACCCTGCGGGGCTCGAAACTGACTCTTTACAGTGCCGCGCGCGGCACGCTGATCGCGGGCGCCGGCGAGGGGAGCGTGTGCTCCCGCTGCACGGGGAGATCGGGGACGAAGACCGACAGCAGTCCCTGCCCACTCAGGCACGCGCAGAGGCGGAGGGCAAGGGGAGGGGGGAAGGCTTCTTAGAAGCACCCCTGCTTCTCAGAAGGCGCGGGCCTTGTCTACAGATGGAGGGCCGGCGCCTCCCAAGAAGCAGCCTGCTTCTAAGAAGCCTTTCCCCCTCCCCCCACCCCCTCGTGCGCGCCGCCAACCACCTCGAGCAGGGCTCGCTGCTGATGCCCGCTCCAGAAGCTGCCCCTCGGGGACGAGAGGTCGCCTGCCCAGCACTGGCTGTTTTCGGCGTTGGGCAGCTGCCCGTCCTCGTCTCGGGCGTGCCAAGCACTGGAGGATGAATTCACCCACCCCTCGGCATCGCTCGGACGTGTGCATTTTCTCAAGGCGAGGCCCATCGAGGAGCATCTAACAGGATCGTCCTGCGAAAAAGTACACGTGCGAAACCGAACAACGCACGGGAAATGGACGTCCGAGCGATGGCGAGACCCTGCTTTCGCTCCTGGGCACGACCAAGTCGTGCCACGCGCCTCCTCGTCGATCCGCCTGGCCGCTGCGGGCCACCCCGCGCTCGGGGGAAACGTCAGCCTGCTCGGAGGGGGGGGGGGCGGGGCGCGGGGAAACATCGACCCCGAGACGCCCAGTCCTCGACGACTTTGGCCCGAGTGCCCCGACCTGCCCAGGAGCATGGGGGCTCCCCATCGGGGGCATATCACCGATCTCCTGGCGATGTACGGTCGGCCCTGATTAGTAGGTCAACCTTTCGACTGAAGGGTGCCCTCGTGTCCCGTGTCTCGCGACCCATGCCTCCCACATACTTGTGGCAATGTGGCCCTCGGAAGGGTCTTGTGTCCTCTCGCGCGTCCTGCCCAATCGAGTCCGACTGTATCGTCGATTCCAGGGTCCTCCGATCGATCCGGTCCGATGTTGGACTCGATCCCGATGTTCCAACGATCCGACGCGGCCCGATGCCTGCGTGGCGCTGCTGTGCATCCTGGCGCAGCCGTCCCGATAGGGAATGCTCGATGCCGTGCCGGTGCGGCCCGATCCGACGCACCCTCCAGTCAGAGCCGATCTCCTGGCTCGATGCTGATTGATGTTGCGACTCCAGGTCGCTGTCATGCCCCCCTGAGTCCATTTGGGCCTTTCCCGAATCCGTGCTGGCCTCGTTTCTGCCGGCGTCGTCGTCGTGGTCGTTGTGCGTGCTGCTCTGCTCCAGACTTGTGCCCCTTATATGCAGTGACCACCACCACCCCCCGAGCCAGCCCCCCCCCTCGGGTCCGCTTTAAGAGCCTCTACCTCACAGCTCGGCGTGCGTGCCAAAATTCACGCGGCGAGCGGCGCGGGAACGAGAGCGCTGGCAGACGGACACTTTCTTACTGGCTGAATTACTTAGTGACAGACACACGCACACGCACACGTACACTCGCGAACATACGCGCACATTCACACACACACACAGTCCCCATTCACTCTACACGTTTACGTATACGTATGCATGTATGCATGTATGTATGTAGGTATATAGATATATGTGTATGTACGTATGTACGTACGTATGCGAATATGCATGTGTGTCTACACCTATGTGCGGTTGTGTGTATGTTTGTATGTGTGAATGTGTGTATGCATGTGTGTATGTGTGTATGTGTGTATGTATGTATATATATATGTATGTATGTATGTATGTATGTACGTATGTATGTATGTATGTATGTGTGTGTATGTATGTATGTATGTATGTATGTATGTATGTATGTGTGTATGTGTGTATGCATGATTGTTTGTCTGCCTGTATGTATGTCTGTATGTGTATGCATGTATGTATGTGTGTATGTTGAAGTGTGTGTATGTACATGTGTGCGTGTGTTCGTACTTACGTATGTAGGTGGGTTTGTATGTCTGTATGTGTATGCATGCATGCATGTAGGTCGGTGGGTCGGTAGCTAGGGATGTATGGATGTATGCATGTGTATGTATGCATGTATGGTTGTAAGTCACGTATGCTTGGTATGTATGCGTCGTATAGTGATGTGTGTATGCACGTATGCATGTGTCTATGTGGACGTGTTTGTGTATGCATGCATGTATGCATGCATGCATGTATGTAATGTATGGATGTAGGTACGCATGACTGCATGCATGCATGTATGTATGCATGTATGAATGGCGTTGTGTGTATGTATGCATGCATGTATGTATGCATGTAAATATGTACGTCTGTGTGTATGTGTGTATGCATGCAAGTATGTTTGTGTGCGTGTGTGTATAAGTGGTGTATGTATGAATATGTGTGTATGGACTTATGTGTGCAGGTATGCCAGCACGTATGTATGCATGAATGCTTGTATGTGTACATGTATGGTTGTATATATATATATGTGTATGCATAAGTGTTTGTCTGTCTAGATTGTTCGGCAGTGCACACGCATGCGTATACACATATTCAGGTACACTTACGTATATCTGTATATATAGATGCAGTGTATAAATGCATGCACATATGCATACTCACAGTCATATGCACATACATAGCGATACATATACATATACATTGCCGATACATATATACATAAACACATATGCGTATACATACATGTGCATATGCATATGCATCTATACATATACACATGCACAGACATAATGCCAATACCTGTACCTAAACCTATCTTACACATACAAATCCAGACACTTGTATGTAGACACATAAAGACGACAGCGCCCACGCGCTCACAACCACTTGTCCTCGAGCGGCCGAGTGACGCCCGTGCGGCGAAGGCTGACGCGGGGCGCGCTTGGCGCCCCACTACCTCTACATGCGCGCCTCTGTCCCAAGACGCGCTGCCAGCTCCAATCGACGGACGCACGGGAACGGAGCGCGTTTCCCACGAATCCGCCTCCCCGAGAGGCGTCGCGGGAGGAAAACGCATCCGCATCCGCGGCCTCGCGGGCGGGGCCCCTGGGCCGCGACCCCGCGCAACACGGGGCGCTCTTTCCCGCGGAGGGCCCCCCGCGCGGAGCGCATCCGTGCGACCGCGTGTCCGCAGGATCGCGCCCCGGAATCCAGACCTTTGTGGGCCCCGGAAACGGCAGGGCCGTTTTTTCACCGTTTCCAAAAAGATGTCCCTTGAAAATGGAAACGGCAAAAAAACGGCGACCGGAAACGGCAAACAACAGCTCCTGGATTGGAATCGGAGCCGGAACCAGTCAAACAATGGCGACGGAACCGGTAAACAAACGGCGTCGGAACCGGCAAAAAAACAGCAAAACGGAACCGGTAACAAAAACGGCCTTGTCGTTTCCAGGGCCCGTTAAGTCCAGACCCCGACGGCGCGGAGACGGACGTCTCCGCCGTGCCGTGCGGCGCGGGGAGCCCGCTGGCCGGGAGGGCGCGCACCGCGGCGCCGGCAGCACGGCAGAGCTGGGCCGGGCGGGGCGGCAGTTACCAGCCTATATCCTTATCCCTAAGATTGGCACGCCAAAAGGCGATGACAATCTTAGGGATTCGTCTTTTTTTCAAAAACAAACAAGGGAATCCCTAAGATTGGCATCGTGATGGAGAGGTGCCCAGCATAGGGATAGGGATATGTTCCAGGCTAGTAATGCAGGGGGGGGGGGGGGGGGCCGGCGGAGCAGCGAGCGACGGCACGCAGAGGCCAGGCGCCAGCACGCCCGAGGAGAGGGAGGACATCGGGAGCCTTGCGAGGCGGGGGTCGATGCAAACGGGGGTCGGCCAGGGCGCCAGACCCTGCAGGATCCTGCGAAGACCCCCTCTGGCTGACCCGGGTCAGCGAGCCGCTCGTGGCCGCGAGGCGGCCGCGCGTATTGGCTGACCCGGGCTTGCGAAGATCTGCGTTGCAGTTTTTTTTTCCCTGCATCTCAGTTTTTGGTTTCTTGCTGACCCAGGTCTGGGTTGACCCGGGTCAGGAGATCCCCGAGATTAGCCGCGCAGACGCGCGAGCACGCGCAGCCTCCTGCCGCCCGAGCCAGGCCCCGTGGGGACCAGAGATTCCCGTGGGCGTCGTTTGGACGCGTGCATGGTTTCTCGGCGAGGGCCGTCGAGGAGCATTCTATTCTGGATCATCGTGCGAACAAGAACACGCATGCGCGCAAAGGCGGCAACTGCACGCAGGGTGGCCGTCCGAGGGATGGCAAGACACAGGAGCACGCGCAGCCTATTGCCGCCCGATCCGAGCTCTCCATGGGACCCAGATCTCCGGCGTCACCCCAGACATGCTCGGCCTCGCACATGCGGTCCGAGCAGATGGGGTCGGAGGATCGCGCCGCATCGCCGATGCGGCTCGATGTGGAGCCCGATCTCTTCTCCACGCCGACGGCTCCGAGGCACCGCCGACGTCGCCGATGCGTCGCCGATGCGTCGCCGCTGCGTCGGCCTTCCGTCGGCGAGGCGCGGCGGTCCTCCGACACCACCTGCTCGGGCCCCGCCCGGGCGGCCTCCGACCCCCGGTGTCACCCCAGGCATGCTTGCGTTGTGTCTGCGTCGGCCCCTCCTCCTCCTCCTCCTCCTCCTCCTCCTCCTCTTCCTCCTCCCCCTCCTGGAGCGGCGCGCGCGCGCAGTTCTTCACCGAGCGCGTTCCGCGACTCGCAGAGTGCATGCTCGCAGACGTCCGAAGACCGCCTGTCTGCTTCGACGCCATTTTTCTCGCAGATCCCCCGCGGGGGCTCCAGGCCATTTTTCGAGCAGACAGATCGACCCAGACACCTCCGCACCTCCCAGACAGATCGAAACAGACCCCCCCCCGCGGGACTCCCTCGGGCATCAAACTCAGACCCGACCCCCTGTCTCCAAGACAGGTTGAGCCAGACCCCCCCCAACTCAGACCCCCCTCCCTTTTATTACAAAAGTTGGAGTACTCTGCGAGTAGTGGAACGCGCTCGTCTCGACATCTCACATCACACGCTTGTTGGTGGGCGTGCTGTTTCCCCATTCCGCTCGGGCGGCGCTGTGCTGTCGTGTGTCTTTGTGCGGCATGCTCGGGTCGGACGTGCTCCGCCGACGGAGACACGTGCAGTCGAGCCTGGTGACAGTCGAGCCCGGGGCAGGGGATCGAGGTCGGCTCGGGGAGGGCACCCTACTGTTAAGTCGGGCGTGTCCTTCTACAGGGGGAATAATTAACAATAGTCCAAACATAGAATAGAGGCTATTCATGTTTTATGGTTTGAGCATTATGGGATCTTTGGGGGGGAAAACAAATGTCGCCCAACATCCGCCTGTATGGGAACAGGCCCGACCTAACCCTACTGTTCTTCCTGTTCGTTGGATGTTCTTGTGCATCCTGGGGGAGGGTATACCCTCGAATGCTCTTCATTTTGGCCGGCGGAGGGTCTCATGTGATTGAAGGACGTTGTTTCTGTCTTGGGTCCGATTGTAGAACGCGTGCCCGGTCAAGGCAAGTGTGCCTTTATGTCTTGCGTTCGTTCCCCATGTCCTCGCGTTCCTGCGGCAGCGGGGCTCTCGGAAGGGTCTTATGTCCTCTCCCGACTCCGTTCTATCCAAAATGCAGAGGAGTCGCAGGACAACGCCATGTGCAATTTTACGATCGAAGCGGACCAGAATGTCATACCCCGTTTTTGGCAGAAAGGAGTGTGTTTCATTGAGTGCGGAACACTTCTCGGGATCTGCGCCATGTTTCCCTGCGTCCCTTACCGCACACGAGCAGCACCTCGCTCCGCCTGGCCCCATCCAAGGCTCCCCCTTGAAATCGCTCGGACGTGTGATTGTTTTTCCTCGGCGAGGACCGCTGAGGAGCATCTTGGATCATTCTCGGAGAATTAACGCACGAAGTCGAGCAATACACGGGAAATGGACGTCCGAGCGATGGCCCCCTTCCTCCCGCGAGGCCGAGGCGCACCTGCGGGAGAAGCGCCAGGAGCCCGGGTCAAGCAGTGGCGAGGCGTCTTGGCTTGCCTATAGGCCCACCAAAGACTCTCCTAACAGCTTTATGTGGTCTGCACGAAATGCCATCCGAGCATCTCTTGCTGGGGCTGTCTTCCTTGAACGCATCGGCTTCTATGTTCTACGGACATCGTTCTTGTTCTTAGGACATTTCTGGATTCTAATCGGCAACGCGCAGAGGGGGGTAGGGGGAGGGGGGAAGGCTTCTTAGAAGCACCCCTGCTTCTTAGAAGGCGCGGGTCTTCTCTATAGACGTAAGGCCGACGAAGCCTTCTAAGAAGCCCTCCCCCCTCCCCCTACCCCCCCGCTGCGCGCCGCCAATCTCAGAGCATGCCGTGGTAGACCTACAGGAATGCCGGGACGGTCGGACCCCTGCTCCAGGGGAGCGCCTGTTCGGCGCCCCGCCCCGCACGGGGCCTCTCGGCGGGGCCTTGGGGGCAGAGGGTCTGGGGGGAGGGGGGGACCGGCGGGCGCCTCCGGGCTCTGCCGAGGGGGGGGGGGGAGGCGGACCTGCGGAGGAAGGGGAGCAGGAGGGAATAAAGCAGGAGGCGCAGACAGGACAAGAAGAACAAGAAGAAGCAGGAGAAGGAGGAGGAGGAGGAGGAGCAGGTGGAGGAGGAGGAGGAAGAAGAGCCGCAATGGGGGGGATGTGCGGTTCGATCGGCTCTGCCGCGTTGCGGGCGGTTGCTCCGCTCGGTCGGTTCGGTTCGTGCGGTTCGGTCGTCGGTGCGGTCGGTTTTCGGTTTTCGGTTTTGCTGTCACCGTGGACGAGCTTGGGCAGTAGGGGTAGCACGATGAGGAAGAGGAGGAGCAGGAGGAGGGGGAGGAGGAGGAGGAGGAAGAGGAGGAGCAGGAGCAGGAGCAGGAGCAGGAGGCGGAGGAGGAGGAGGGAGAAGGATGGCAGCGCGATGAGGAGGACGGGGAGGAGCGGGTGGGAAGAGAGGGGGAAGCGAAGACCGCGGGGCAGCTCGAGGGCAACGCCCATCGGAGGCCCGTGTGCTGTTTCTGATCGGTGCGGAGTCCCCCTCCCCTGGGCGGCGCCGGAGGCTGCCGGGCGGGTCCAGCGTCGATGCTAGGGGCAGGCGCAGACCAGCGAGAGGCTGTGCTGTTGCAGCCTGAAGTGTGCGAGGGGCAGGGGAAGCGGGACGGGTGGGGGCGACGACGGCCTCTGACGTGCCCTGCCAGGCCCGACAAGGCTACGTTTTCCTCTCCGCAGGCGCTGCCCGTTTCAAGCAGAGGTCGTCCGCCCACCAGCCGCCGTTGTCTCGCGTACGTTTGTGTTCCCCCCTTGAAGGCTACAGTGCCGTTTTTATTACATGCTCCGCGTGCGGATCATGTATTAAAAATGCAGCGATTGAGTATTAAAAACAACGATGAGTTCATCCATACATTTATTCATAAATCAGTCGTATGGTAACAATCCTATATTTTTAAACATCGTATGTATTAAAAGATGCCCTGTACGGAGGCCACCTGAGCTTGTGTGGGGCAAGCTGGGCCCCTCCTGGGCCAGGGCCTCTGCAGCTGCGTCGCAGGGCATCTCTGCGCGCGTCAAGAACGTCAGGCAGTGTTTCTTCCACTGCGTCAGCGTGGTAAGCGGTTTCCGTTTGTGTCGTAGTCATTTCGAGGTATCTCGGTTTTTCGTGGACGCAAAAACAGCTCGAGGAAAACAGGTGCCATAGAAGGCAATCGAGAGGTGGAGGTCATCTGATGCATCTTGGAAAAATGGTGGGCCTTCTTGAGGTCACAACTAGAATCTAGCTGGTCATGGAGGTTGACAAGTTCTTACATAACTCTACAGTGAAGTTGGTGATTCCCCCTTGTGAGGTTTTCGGGCTCGAGCACTCCCAAACGACAACCTTGACCACTGTGGAGGGGGGGAATGCGAGTTGGGCATGCAAGCGGTGGATCGACGGATTTGCGTGCGGTGCGGAGGCGGGCATTTCCAAAGATCTTCCTTGTGTGTGGTTTCCCTCCGCTCTTCTGCCTCTACCTCTCTCTCTCTCTTTCCCTTTCTATCTCGCTCTTGCTCTCTTCCCCCTCTCTGTATGGCTGTATCTCGCACTTCCTCTCTCTCTCTCTTTCTCTTTCTCTCTCTCTCTCTCTGACTCCCCCCTCTCTCTTTCTTTCTCTCTGTTATGCCCCTTCCCTCTCCTCCTCACGACCCCTCCTCCCCGCTTTCGCTCCGCCGCTGCATCCCCCTCCCTCCCTGAGTCACTCCTCTTCCCCCACATCCCTCCCGCCCTCTCGCAGCCTCCCTGGGTCCATTCCCAGTTCCCCAACGTCGAGACCCTTCTCACCACGTGGAGCCCAGAGGTTTCGACCCATCTCCCCAGATCCGGCCCTTCATCCCGAGCCGTTTTTGTTGGCGGCCCCCGGGTGCCCGGCGAGGGCCGCCAGCGGGCGAAGATAGCCAGATGTCTTCCGTCGTGATGACGCGAGGGGGCCTGGATCCATCGCCCCCCTCTTCCCAGATGCCGCTTGCCCCGGGTGCCCTCGGCCTCCCCCCCCTTCCGTGGCATCTCTCGGACGGGTGAGTGTGTGTGTGTGTGTTTGTGTTTGTTTTTTCGGCGAGGACCATCGAAAGCAGCAGGTTGGCTCACCTTGCGGAAAAATGCGCGCACGACACCGAGAAATGCACGGGGAAATAGACGTCCGAGCTAGGAGGCCACATGCAAACCTTACCCCACCACGCCGCGATTTCTAAGGGGGGAGGTGGGATTCACTTCGTTCGGGACCTCCCGAGCGAAGTGAACCTCACCTCCCCCTTTGAAACCGTGGGGTGGTGGGGTGGGGTTCGCACGAGGCCCCCTACCAGCGATGGCGCGCGTCCCGAAAGCTCCCGACACGGCCAGGAAGTGGAGTGCCTGGTCGACGGCAACGCCGAGCTGCTCGTGGAGGCGCCCTTTTTTCGGCGCCTCGGAGCAGCGCCGCCCCACATAGAGGGCAAGCCTCCTCCTCCGCCTCCTCGTCCTCCTCCTCGTCGTTCTCCTTTTCCTCCTCCTCCTCCTCCTCCTCCTCCTCGTCCTCCTACTCCTCCTCGTCCTCCCCCTTCTCCTCCTCCTCCTCCTCGTCCTCCTACTTCTCCTCGTCCTCCTCCTTCTTCTCCTCCTCCTCCTGCTCCTCCTCTTCCTCCTCCTCGTGCCACCAACGTGTTTTTGAGAGGAAGGTAAGATCTTGAGGTCCGTGTGGTTCCTTGGTGTGGCGGTGATGCCCTGGTTGTTGCCACCTCTCGGCCACGTTGCGCTAATGCTCTCTCGTTGCCCCGCCAGCCCCGACTCCTTCCTTACGCCTCGCTCGTCCTGCTCCTCAATCATCCTCCCCTTCTCTTCATCCTCCTCCTCCTCCTTCTGCTCCTCCATTCCTTTTCCTCATACATAGCTTCTCACAGTCGCCCCCCGAGGCCAGTTTTTAGGGCGGTCCGGGCGTTTCGTCTGAGACTTCCTCACCATGTATGAAACCTGAAGCTTGACAAGCGACAACAGTTTCACATATGGATGGCGGGTCGTTTTCAACATGTGGCTCTCGCCTAAGCGCCGCGCTCATTCGTCTTAACCATCTGCAAAAGCTCCACGGGTTGAGGGCGGCTCCTTTTCAACATGTGGCTCTCGCCTGAGCGCCAAGCACACTCCCTTTAAACATTTTCAAGAGTTTCACGGATTGAGGGCGGCTCCTTTTCAACATGTGGTTCTCGCTTAAGCGCCGCGCGCACTCGTTTTAAACATTTGCATGAGTTTCACGGATCCCCATGGTCAGCGTACCAGAAAAAATAGCGTTTCGGAAGGATTCCGGAATTTGAGGATGCAACAGTTACGATGATTTGCGGTGTTGTGAAGTCCCAGGAATGGCGCTCTGGCAGACTCAGGATTGCCGAGACGCAACAGTCAGGTTGATCCGTGACGTTGAAATCCCGAGAACGACGTTTTGGCATGCGCCAGGGTCTTCGAACGGTTGTCTTCCAACGAGGCAATTCCCTCAGTGGAAATGAACCTTTGTAAGGGGCCTATGAGTAGGGATCCTGGAGGGAGGGTTTATTCCAACACCGTTGATGACCCGTAGGTCTACACTGGTCCTCCTCCTCCTCCTCCTCCTCCTCCTCCTCCTCCTCCTCCTCCTCCTCCTCCTCTTTGCGTTCCCACGGATGCTTGCGTCCGACCGCGGAGCAGTGTTGGAGGGCGTGGAGGGGCACGAGGGAGGGGAGCATGTCGACAGCGTCCAAAGTGTTGGGGGGAACGGGGCCATTCCTTCGCACCCGGGCTCCTCCGACACCATCGATTCGGACCCCTGTGAGACCGCCCCGCCCGGGGGTGAAAGGAGAAGGGGGCGAGATTTCTAAGAAGGCGGCGAGGCTTCTCGGAAATCTTTTTCCTTCCGAGAAGACGCCCCTATTTTCGCAGAAGGCTTAGAGAACTTCCCAGAAGGTTGGAGGCTGTTCGAGCCTTCTGCCACCACCCACCAAGGCACCCGAACCCAACCCGAAGGCCCAAATTTGCCCTCCATTCCCAGTGTGTGGGGCGGCGCGTCTGGGAGTATCGAAAAAACATGTGGAGCCCGCACCCCCCCCAAACCTGAAGTTCGGGTCTTCGGGTTGTGTTGGGGTGGTCTGGTGGGTAGACATTATGGAACGGTCCGCGCCCTCTCCCGGGGAAACCAAAAGGTACCGATACCGCTGATCCACGGACCTTTCCAGGGGTGCGTTCTGACTAGAATTTCGAGGCGAATCCAACGGTGGCGACGGGGGCCTGCCAGGAGGCCCGAGAAGGCGAAAACGGAGCAAGAGTAGCGGCATACCTTTTCCTCCTCCGATCGCATTCCTCCTTGGGTTCGCCGCCGCAACCCCTCCGACCCGAGCTCGCGGCGCGCCGCCCGCGAGGCCGCGGAGGCGCGGGCCTCGCGGAAGCGCGCCAAGGAGGACCGCGACGAGGCGAGGGTGACGGCGCGCCGCCTCGAGGAGGCGCGCCGCGCTGCCGGTGTGGCGGGGCCTCGCTCCACGGCCGTGTCGGTCCGATCGATCCGGTTCGATGTCGCTTTCAGCCGTCCCGATCCTCAGAGGCGGAAAGGGTACCCATACCTCTACCCCTGCCTCGTTTTCCCCTGGTTGGGCCTGCTGGGCGGCCCTCGGCGCCACCGCCGGATTCGCCCCGGAATCCTGGTCAGAAGGCACCCCGGGAGAGGTCCGGGGAGCAGCGGTATAGGTTTCCCCAGGTATCGGTTTCGGCCGTCCCGATCCGAGCTGGTTTCGATTCCCCGACGATCCGATGGGGCCAGACGCTGGCTCGGCGCTGCTGTGCGTCCTGGCGCAGCTGGTCCGATTCGATTCAGACTCCGTGCCACTGCTGATGGGCCCATTTTCCACCACCACTACCATAGGCAGGAGAGGGAGGAGGAGGAGGAGGAGGAGGAGCACCTCCTCATCCTCCCTTCTCCCCCGTCCTACATCTGGTAGTGGTGGTGGAACATTTGCCTATCAATTGCAGCCCGATCCGACGCACAGGTCGAGGCGGTCCAGCGTCCGCGAGTCGCTGAGCGGGCTGTTCCTGCCCTCCTGCCCTGGCCACTGGGTATGCCAAAGACCGCTGGAGACCTCCGGACGACCGCCGAAGACGGTCAGAATCAGCAGGGAAAAAAGACACACAGACACAATGAATCGTCGATTCCACAGACGATATGGGAAAGTATGGGAAGTGGGGGGGGATGACAAAAACCCAGAAAATATTGGCAATCCTGTTACTTGTGTTTACTTATTTGTGTGTCCCAGGGCCCCTTCACAGAAGACCGCCGAAGGCCACCGAAGGCCGATGGGCAACGAGGTGCCAGTGCGGGGCGCAAGACGCGAGGAGGCTGGGACTCGGGCGTGGCAACGCTTTCTTGACGGGCGCGTGTCCTGGGTGTGGACGGTCCAGGTGTCGTGGGGGATGTCCGCAGAGCGGGAGCGCGCGTCAGATTTCAGGCGGGGTCGCCGTCGTGTTCATGATGGCCCCGTCAGGCCAACCCGAGCCCCCCGAACCCGAGTCTTACGCACGTCTCCCCGGCAGTGGTCGAATGCGTAGAGAGCCCGCCCGCGGCCTCCAGCCGGCCCTGGGGCCAGCTCGTGGGATGCCAGACCTTTCTGGTCGCGGCCGACGAGATCGGTCAAAGCAAGCGACGTTGTTTCAAGTTCCCACATCGGTCGCGACCGATCTGCTGCTTTAGGTCTGTCGCGACCGATCGGTCACGGCAGATCGGTCGCGGTGGGTGCCGACTGCTCGCTACCGATCGCGACCGACGTTCTGGTCTCCCAAGATCGCGGCGCCGACAAGCTTGCCTGCACGGCATGTCGTCCCCTCCCCCGCCTTCCCATGCGGCGCTGGGCCGGAGAGGCGTGCAAGCGAGTCTCGATTTGCCCGGAGTCCAGATTTTCTTTCGGGCCTCGCCCGCCACCCCCACTTCTCACTTCGCGCGAGTAAGTGTACCGCAGTCTATGGAACAATTGCCTCTATGATGGACTCGGAGGGCACGACGACGACGATCGAGGCCCGAGGTTCAAGGACAGGTTCCCAGGCCCGCTCGCGTCGTGAACAAAAAGTGTAACGACTGCCAGGTTTCTACTATTTTTGGCCTCGGGGGGCCCCAGGAGCGTCAACAAAACGACTCGGGATGAATGGCCTGCCCCGGGGAAGGGGTCGAGACTCTGCTGGTCCTCGCTTCGGGTGTTGCTCGAAGTACCCCTGGCCCAAGGTATCCCCGGGGTTCTCGGGGCGGCCAGGACTGCCCAGGAAGATAAGGGACAATGTGGGAAGTGCGGGGGGGGGGGGAACACGAAAACCCAGAGGATGTGGGAAGATGTGGGGAATCCTATTATTAGGATATATTGACTTCCCCATATCCTAAGATGGGGTTCTTGTTATTACTCGGACGCCGCCGACTCCAGAGAACCTGCTCATACACAGACTTACTCATAGTCAGACCTACACATACTCAGACCTTCTCTCATAGTCTGAGTTACTCAACGCACGGACTGAGATTTACTCATACTCAGACCTAGTCATACTCAGACTCGCAAGGGGAGCCGCCAGGGGTGTTTTCACGGGCCCGTTCGAGGCCAGTTTGTGGGGATGTCTCAGGCGGTTTGCTCGTCGTCATGCCCAACATCCTTTGCTTTCAGAGCAGGCTGTGAGGATGTCTCAGGCGGGGCGCTGGTTTCAGCACCCCTAAGGGGAGCCGCCAGGGATGGTTTCACGGGCCTGTTCACGGCCAGTTTGTGGGGATGTCTCAGGCGGTTTGCTTGTTGTTATGCCCAACGTCCTTTGCTTTCAGTGCAGATTGTGAGGATGTCTCAGGCAGGGCGCTGGTTTCAGCACCCCTAAGGGGAGCCGCCAGGGGCGTTTCCACGGGTCAGTTCTCAGGTGGTTTGCTCGTTTTCATGCCCAACATCCTTTGCTTTCAGAGCAGATTGTGAGGATGTCTCAGGCGTGGCGCTGGTTTCAGCATCCCTAAGGGGAGCCGCCAGGGATGTTTTCACGGGCCCGTTCGCGGCCAGTTTACGAGGATGCCTCATGTTGTTTGCTCGTTGTCATGCCCAACGCCTTTTGCTTTCAGATCAGATTGTGAGGATGTCTCAGGCGGGGCGCTGGTTTCAGCACCCCTGAGGGGAGCCGCCAGGGGTGCTTTCACGGGCCCGTTCGCGGCCAGTTTGTGGGGATGTCTCAGGCGGTTTGCTCGTTGTCGTGCCCAACATCCTTAGTTTTCAAATCAGATTTTGACGATGTCTCAGGCGGGGCGCTGGTTTCAGCACCCCTAAGGGTGTTTTCACGGGCCCGTTCGCGGCCAGTTTGTGGAGACGTCTCAGGCGGTTTGCTCGTCGTCATGCCCAACAGCCTTTGCTTTCAGAGCATATTGTGAAGATGTCTCAGGCGGGGCGCTGGTTTCAGCACCCCTAAGGGGAGCCGCCAGGGGTGTTTTCACGGGCCCGTTCGCGGCCAGTTTACGAGGATGCCTCATGCGGTTTGCTCGTTGTCATGCCCAACGCCTTTTGCTTTCAGATCAGATTGTGAGGATGTCTCAGGCGGGGCGCTGGTTTCAGCACCCCTAAGGGGAGCCGCCAGGGAGTAGGACACGGGCCCGTTCGCGGCCAGTTTGTGGGGATGTCTCAGGCGGTTTGCTTGTTTTCATGCCCAACATCTTTGGTTTTCAGAGCAGATTGTGAGGATGTCTCAGGCGGGGCGCTGGTTTCAGCATCCCTAAGGAGAGCCGCCAGGGGGCAGGACACGGGCCCGTTCGCGGCCATTTTGCGGGGATGTCTCAAGCGGTTTGCTCGTTTTCATGCTGCGAGGAAGGAGATGAGACGTGCTGGTCCCTTGGGTCGTGCTCTGGCACGTACCCTCTGGGACGCACGGAGGAAGGAGTGGAGGCGTGCTGGTCCCTTGGGTCGTGCTCCCGCACGTACCCTCTGGGACGCACGGAGGAAGGAGTCGAGGCTTTGGCCCAGAGTCTGGAAGGAGCTCACTCTGACTCATACTCACTCACTCGCATTAGGATTCACTCGTCTTCGTCGGCCCTGTCACCCATGTGGACGCGTTATTACAGTCAAGCGCTCAAGAACAGACGCTCACTATGGCATGACAGAAAACATGAGATGCACATATGGGGAGCTCCACGCAGTGAGTAATTGTGTGTCCCAGGGCCCCTACATCTTAACCCTTCTCTCCGGGTTTTCTAGTTTTTTGGGGGGAACATGGCCCCCCGAATCCCCTTCTCTCAGGCGGTCCTGCTGCGAGGGGCGACGACAATGGGGAAGTCGAGGAGGAGAAGGAGCGGGAGGAGTAGTACAGTCGGACCGAGGCACAAGATCGAGGTCGGTCGAGGGAGGGTACCCTGGTGTTTTTCGTGTGTGTGTGTGTGTGTGTGTGTGTGTGTGTGTGTGTGTGTGTGTGTGTGTGTGTGTGTGTGTGTGTGTGTGTGTGTGTGTGTGTGTGTGTGTGTGTGCGTGTGTGTGTGTGTGCGTGTGCGTGCGTGCGTGTGCGTGTGCGTGTGCGTGTGCGTGTGCGTGTGCGCGTGTGCGCGTGTGTGCGCGTGTGTGTGTGTGTGTGTGTGTGTGTGTTGGTTGTTCTCGTGCACCCTGGGGGGGCGGATGTTCTCTGTCTGTTTTGGCCGGCGGGGAGTATCGCGTTCTGAGGGGATGTTGTTTTCTGTCCTAGGTTCGACTGTTCGACGAGGGGAATGGTGTAAGAAGGAGGAGGAGGAGGACGAGGAGGAGAGGGAGGAGGGAGCAGGGAGGAGGGAGGAGGGAGGATGGAGGATGGAGGAGGGAGGAGGGAGGATGGAGGATCGAAAATCGAGGATCGAGGATGGAAGATGGAGGATGGGGATCGAGGATCGAGGGTCGGGGATCGAGGATGCAGGATGCAGGATGGGGGATGGGGGATGGAGGATGGAGGATGGAGGATAAAAAGATGGAGGAGGGGAAGGAGGAGGAGGAGGAGGAGGAGGAGGACGGGGAGGAGGAGGAGGAGGAGGAAGAGGAGGAGGAGAAGGAGGAGGAGGAGGGGGAGGAGGAGGGAAGGAGGAGGAAGGAGGAGGAAGGAGGAGGAGGAGGAGGAGGACGCAGGACGCAGCATAGAACGCCGAAGCATCCGGAAACGCGACGACGACTATAAAAGTTAGGCAAGTGAGTGTGATAAATCACCAACACTCAAGAGAGACCAGACAAATTAATCATCAAAGGGCGACGCCGGTTGCTGGATGTTTGCCCTCGGCGAGCCAGTCCCTGGCTCGCCGACGGGCCGCATTCGGGGGTTTAAGTGGGCAACGTGCCCCGAGGGCATCGAGCTTGGGGGACCCAAGGGCCACCCGGGCGCCACAGAGCCCACAAAACAAGTAGGGCCCTGCCCGGTGGACTCGATGCCCGTCGCATTCGAAGAGGTGCCCTCCAGCCTCCGCCTCCATCTCGGCAGCGGCAGCAGCAAGAGCAGACTC